CTTCGTCCTCGCCTCCCACTGGTTCTGCCTCGCCTGAGGCCTCCCCATCGCCTGTCCCTCGCTCTGCAGCGCCGTCACCGGACCCGGAGCACGCTCCTACGCCTCCTGAACGCCCTCCGACGCCATGCTGGTGCTAGCTGGCCTCGACACCGTCTACGCCACTCCTTCGTCGCCGGACCACCTCTCCTTCCCTCAGAGCCTCGAGGCCGCCTTCCAGGCTTGCGCACTGAAGGCTGAGGCGCGGGGCAACGAGCCTAGGTCTTTCCGCGAGGCCATGAAGCGTCCTGACTCGGATCTGTGGTACAAGGTCGCCATGGAGGAGATCGAGGCCCACATCGCCAATGGGACTTGGGAGCTGGTCCAGCTGCCTCCCGGACGCAAGGCCATCGGTTCCCGCTGGGTTTTCAAGATCAAGCGCAAGGCCGACGGTTCTGTGGAGCGCTACAAGGCACGCCTCGTTCAGCCAGCGCCCCTGAGTCGACTTCGACGAAACCTTCGCTCCTACAGCCAAGTGGGCCGCTCTCTGTGTTGTCTGAGGGCGTCTAGCAGCTGGACAACACTCAAGAACAAGCTGGAGAGCACAGACAGTGAGCAGAATGAAGTAAATACATGGAGAGGGCTATCCTACCTGGAGAGCACAGACAGTGAGCAGAATGAAGTGCCCAACTCGTCTGTGGCTCTCCAGTAAAACTGTCAGCACAGCCTACAAGCTAAAGCAGCCACAGCCATGCGAAATAAGCGCCAGAGAGCTGGCAAGTCACCACAGGCAGCACTCCCCCCTGACGAGGCAACTCTCAAGCTAATCCCATCAAACCCCTGCAGGCCTCCACCTTCGAGCGATCCAGAGACTTGGTGAGCAAGTCGGCAGGCATCTCCGCCGTGGGGATGTAGCTGACAGAGATTTTCTTTGCCTCAACGGCGTCCCTAAGGCAGTAGAAGGCTAGGTCGAGGTGCTTCATGCGCCCATGATGTTCCGGGTTCTTCGCCACAGAGAGAGCAGACTGGTTGTCGATGCGGAGCATACAGGAGGAGCTGACATCGAAGCCGACCTCAGTGAGGAGGTTGCGGAGCTAGATGACCTCCTCGCTGGCATAGCAGGCGGCCACATACTCGGCCTCAGTGGTGGAGAGGACTACGACGGTCTGAAGCTTCGAGCTCCAGCTCACGGCGCCGGTACCGACCTTGAGGACGTAGCCAGAGGTAGAGCGGCCGTTGTCCGGGTTGCCGCCGTGGTCAGCATTGCAGAACGAGCTGAAGAGCTCGCCGGAGTCGTCAGGAGTGTACCGGATGCGCAGGTCGAGCGTGCCCCGCAGGTAGCGGAAGAGGTGCTTCACGGCCTTCCAGTGAGCCGGGCCAGGGTTGCTGGTGAAGCGAGAGAGAACGCTGACGGCGTAGGAGATGTCGGGGCGAGTGCAGATCGCCAGGTAGAGTAGGGCACCCATTGGCGATGTGGGCCTCGATCTCCTCCATGGCGACCTTGTACCACAGATCCGAGTCAGGACGCTTCATGGCCTCGCGGAAAGACCTAGGCTCGTTGCCCCGCGCCTCAGCCTTCAGTGCGCAAGCCTGGAAGGCGGCCTCGAGGCTCTGAGGGAAGGAGAGGTGGTCCGGCGACGAAGGAGCGGCGTAGACGGTGTCGAGGCCAGCTAGCACCAGCATGGCGTCGGAGGGCGTTCAGGAGGCGTAGGAGCGTGCTCCGGGTCCGGTGACGGCGCTGCAGAGCGAGGGACAGGCGATGGGGAGGCCTCAGGCGAGGCAGAACCAGTGGGAGGCAAGGACGAAGCCTCAGGAGACGGCGGAGGAGTCTCGACTCTGGCAGGAGCGACAGGCGGCACATGAGGCGGTTCCAGATCTCCCCCCGGTTCAGGGAGGTCCTGAGCATCCTGAAACGGCGGTGGTGCCATATCTCCTCCCGGAACCGGCGCAGGTGCGTCAGGAGGAGAGCGAGGAGCACCGTGCAGCAAAGGCAGGGCGCAGAGAACGAAGTCGGAGGCAGCAGAGTCCCAGCTGGCGGTAGAACACGCTCTGGGGAAGTACCGCTCGTCAAAGATAGCGGCGTTAGAGATGATCCGCTTGCGGGTGTCTGGGTTGTAGAAGAGCCAGGCCTTGTAGTCCTCCGCGTAGCCGACGAAGATGCACTTCTCAGAGTGGGAGGAGAGGCCGCGGCGCTTGTCCTTCTGGATGTTAACGTAGGCAACGCACCCGAAGACCCGCAGGCGTTCCACAGAGGGCTTGACCCGGTACCAGCCAAAGTAGGGTGTTGCCCCCTTGGGCAGGGCAGCGGAGGGTGTCCTGTTGTGCACATGGACGTAGACGGCGACGGCGAGGCCACAGAACGATGGAGGGAGGTTGGACTCGCTGAGGAGAGTGGTGGCGCCCTCGGCCAGAGTCCGGTTGGCGCGTTCGGCGACGCCGTTCTGGTGGGGCTCGTTGCGGACGCTGTGCTCGCGTCGGATGCCTTCGGAGGTGCAGAGGTCGTCCCACTCCTTCGAGATGAACTCGCCGCCCTTGTCGTCGCGTAGTGCGCCGATCTTGCGTCCGGTGAGATGCTCAGCAAAGGCCTTGAGGCGCAGGAAGGCCTGGAATGCGTCGCTCTTGCACCGGAACAGCACCACCACCCAGAAGCGGTGGGCATCGTCGACGAAGATCACCCAGTATCGGTACCCTTCAGGCGTCTGGACAGGGATAGGGCCGTGAACATCCATGTGAACGAGACCCAGGGCCTCTGACGCGCGCCGGGAGGCCCTCAGAGGCACAGGAGGTCGGTGCAGCTTGCCCGAGATGCAAGGCTCGCAGATGGCGTCTGGAGCGGCGTCCGAGTCGAGCTCGAGGCCAGAGACGCTGTCCTCCTTCAGCATCCGGCGCACATAGTCGACGTTGACGTGCCCGAAGCGCCGATGCCAGAGCTCGAGGTCTAAGGTGCAGGTGCTGGCGGGCTGGGCGTGCTCCAGGGCCGGCAGGGTAGGCCCGTTGACGATGGCGGCGTTGGAATCGCTCACAGACGCGAGGAAAAGCGTGGTGGTGCCTCGAACGAAGGCCATAAGGCCCCTGGTGATCGCAACGCGAATGGATTTGTGCTGAGTGAGATACAGGACTGATAGGAGGTTAGAGCGAAGCTCTGGGATGTGTAGCACCCTGGTCCACTCCACTCGACGCGATTCCTGACCCTCCACCACCGGCTGGAAGCGAACCGAGCCAACACCGACGGCGTAGACGAGTTTCGAGTCGGCGAGGCGAATGGGGACGTTGCAGGGCATGTAGGAGACGAACCAGTGACAGTGAGGCGTCATACGAGCAGTGGCCCCTGTATCGGCGGTCCAGTCAGCGCTGGTGACGTCTAGAACGGCGGGAAGGGGCTCAGACAACGAGGAGACACTTGCATTGCCAGTCAGCTCGACGTGGACGGCCTGTCCGGCGGTCTGGGGAGAGCCGGGGGGGTCCTGGGCCTCAGAGGCGGCCTTGGCGGTCTGAGAGCGCGGCGTGCGACGTCCTGACTCGCGTTCCGCGATCTCCTTGCGTGCGGCGTCCCTGGCGGCGCTCCGGCGATGGCAGGTGGCCTCCGAGTGACCCTTGTAGCCGCAGAAGTCGCAAACGACGTCCTGGGCGGCGGAGGAGCCAGGAGCGGCCTGAGCACGATAGGCGGCGTTCTCGGCACCTCCGGCGCGCGGCAGGCGGTGGTTATGTTCGGGGATGAAGGCTTGAACGATTCGTCTGTGGCTCTCCAGTGAAACTGTCAGCACAGCCTACAAGCTAAAGCGGACACAGCCACACAAAATAAGCGCCAGAGAGCTGGCAAGTCACCACAGACAACAGTACGGCCAAAGGAAAGGGCAAAGAACAGGCCAAAAGTGACCATGACGATTCAGACCCGCCAGACGATGCATTCGAGTTTAAGTCAGGGACGTTCGATTCACCGGTTCTCACAATCTCTCGTAGGCCATAAACTTATGGAGGCATGACGGCCTACACTGTTTTGGTTATGTCATTGACACAAAGTGTACGTCTGGATTTCCACTGTGGCGAGACATCAAGATCACCTATAAAAACAATATCTTCAATACGATGGCAAACTTTCAGGCAGCTATCTGGCACACGTTGCTCAATACATGCCTCAACGTTTTGCTGATGATAACAAACAGCATGCTCGGGATGAGGGCATTAGGTCTTGCCGAGCATGACCTCCCACCTTTGTTCACCGGCGATGAAGTACCGAGTCGCAATCAAGGCGAAGACAAACGCGCACACTACCAGCACATATTTAGGCATCTGATGAAACAGAAATGCAGTGTGTTTCCATCTTCATTGCACCGGTCCTGTGTCTAACTGCCAAGGCAGAGATTGTTGAAGTTGAGGTGAAGACTGTTCTTGTGGAACAGGCTGCTGGAGTTCAGAACGAAATCAGGGTGATTGATCTATTTCTTCTTGAACTACACATGCACTGGGTACAAGTTCAGATTCCGTGGCAACCAAGTTGACAGGTCCATCGAGAGGATGGTTATGCCTTTTCTTTCAGGTGGTGAGACGAAACTGAAGATTTTCAGAGGAGAAAGATACGCCATGGTCAACGAAAGCTGGCATCCCTATAATCACAAGGTGGATCGCCGAAGGCGAGGATATGCAAAAGGTAGACACTGCGATCGTAGAGAACCTTGAAGCAGGGTGTACTGTACACCGTGGAAGACCCCAAGCTATGGGAACGTGGTCTCCGGCAACCCCGATGAGCAAGCGCAACGGCGACAAGACACTGTGGCCATGGGGGCAAGAATGCCAAGGCTCACTCATGATGACCTCAATTGAATGTTCTTCAGTCACTCTACCGTAGCTGGGAAGCTGTCGCTACAAGATGGGAATTATCATGCTCGGCACCGCAGATACGATCTGCCCAGATGCTATGTTGGCCTTTGCCCAGGAGACACAATGCAATTAGATAGCACTACCTACAGTGGGTTATAGGGAAATTCATGAATACATGTTGCTGGTGACATTGTACTTAATACAATGGATTCTTATTCTGTTCGGGCTCCAGTTGCGCTACTAATGAGCCGTAGAACCTCTTCGGCATCACATCCACAGTTGTCCAACATCCTTCTATAGCCAGTTTTCTGTAGCAAGCTGCAGTCGTCCAGCTACATGGGTTGGTGGTTGCACCATGTTGATCATTGGTAGCATCCCACTGTGTTCCCCCCCCCCCCTAACGTTCGACAACGACCTTGTAATCACCGCAGACATTTCCTTCTCATGGACTCATCTTGCACTATTGTCAGATAAGTCACATGAGAAATGCAATGAGCCTACAGGTTCAGGGCGGTGTACAACTTCTCCCATGGAAACTGTGGCATCATTGTCTGGATGCAGCCCTGCACAATAAGCATATGATGTAAAGCAGGACAAATTTGGATATCCCAATATGGCTTTCTTGGGTTTTGGTCTAGGAAGTTGTAAAAAAAAATCATGGACCAATAAAAGTTGAAAATCTGTTCACCATCATGATCTTGGCCTGATGTGCCATAAATGCTTCCAGCAGCATAAAGTTGACTACTTGCTAGACTACGCAAATGCTCAGTAGTGATACGATGATCCCAACTTTGTGACATACCCATTAAAGCCTCACCCACATGTAATGGCAGTCCTAACTGGGGTGCTGCAGGGTCAAAGAGCCCCCTATGACTAGATAGTCTGTCCGCTGGGATGTAGGGCACATTGTTTGTCTGATGCACAGAATTCGGGCCTTTCTCATTAGGCCCATAGATGCCTTTTTGTCTGAGCGTGTCACAGCAGTGCTATATTGGTTAGCAAGTGCACAGTATGTGTTACTGTCCTTGAGTGCTTGTACGATGTTGTCTTGGAGGACCGCATTCAGCGGTTGGTCCAAATTGTAAACCACGTATCCGAACTGTAATTAGGAAAATTAGTCTGCTACTGCTCAGGGTAACTGCATCAACACATACTGCCTTGTCTTCATGAGGAGCAGTATTTGCATCATCGTCCTTCTTCCATAATATGTATGCGACAGCTTTCTTATCATCAGGTGCTTTCACCAGGTAAAAGTCGTCCTCCTCCAGACAAATAGCATCATGGTTAAGGATCTGACTACTCTAAAAGGCTTGAGTGAAAGATGCCTTAGATTCAAACATAGCCTTTCCTGTCTGTAGCCGAGGAACTTCACCACTTGATCAATAGATGTCAAACAACGATCTGCTGTAGATACAATGTAAAAGAAACTGACCGGGTGTAACCAAGCCCTATTGCCTCTTTTCTGATCACCTTCACTGCTTTCTTGACATGAAGCAGGGTATTCCTCACAGCTATGCGCGTTCGATAAACATTTTGTGGACCTTAGATTCAGAGTCTCCATAGTGGTGTTTCTGGCAAAGAACATTCCAAACAAACTGCCACAGTAATGCCCCTGGATTAGCAGTATCCTGTCCATTCTTGAGCTAAACATAGGTTTCATATGTTCAACACAACATGCGCTAGCCGATATTCATTGGGACCACTAACTATTCCCAAAAGGTTCTGAATTTCAGGAAGGCCCTTTGGCTGGTTCTTCTCCGCCTTCAGGCATGCTGGTCTCTCTTTGAGGCATGAAACAAAGATCTCCTTGGTGCCCATAGGCGTGGCAGTCTGTAGAATTTATCTCCATTCGTTGTCAGAGGCTTCTTGCATTTTTGCAATCCAAGTGTGTATACAAGTCAACAGTTCACCTCTCAATGTTGCCAACCTGTTGACGCCAACGATTCTGACGAGTCTTCTGACGACAATGCAGACGATGCAGATGACACCGACAATGCCAACAATGCCGATGCTAACAATGCTGATAACAACACTGCCAGAGACGATGGCAACGACGAGGCCCATGACATCGCCTTCAACCTCGCATCAGGAGGCGAGATCGAGACCAAGTACTTCTTTGCTTTTTCAGTAATTGGTGTTGATGCACCATTCACCCTTTTGATTATCTTACCCACTTCCACATGCTTCAGCTGTGTCAAGATCGGATACAAACAAGGGGTAACGGGGTCGGAGGACCAAAGTCCGAAATGTATATACGTAGAATAGAATGAAATAGAAGGAAGAAACTCAAGGGGTAGAGTCGGAGACGCGTCGGCGTGAAGTCGAGAAGTCGGAAGTGTCGGTGGAGCCGAGATCGGATGTGGACCAAGCCTAAGCTCGTGCGCTAGGCTGCTACGTGCTCTGAGTCCACAGGAGGAAGAGAGCAAAGCTTAGTCGATATTCGAACTGACTATCTACGGTACAGTTCGACGGTTTATATGCATAAAAGAGAACAATAGCGAAGTTGGAGAGTTGGAGATCGGAGGCGCCGTTCGGCGCACAAAGGGAACATACGGAGACGAGACATTATGCATGGAACACAAAGGAAACATATCTACGGAAGAGGTGGAAAGATCAGACCAAAAGATCCATCGCTCGCGACGGAAAACTAAAGTCTACAAAGGGAAGCTATGATGTCAGACAAAGGGAACAGGAATCAGGAAAGTCGGAGTTGAATCCGTTCAAAGATCTGGAACCACCGGGGCGTTGAGCCGTCAGTGGCCCAGTGCATGTGATAGGCATATCCCGCCCTCGACCAAATTGGGAAAGGTGGGATCGGTGTCGGCGAAGAAGTCGGTGAAGGGTCACAGATCGGATCGGAGAAGATCGGTGTAGATCGGTGACGATCAGCGGAGCGGATCGGTGTAGGTCGGTCTGGATTGACACATGACAAGCTGACAATAACAAGGGTATTAAGTCAAGTTGTCCAGTGCCTCACCTTTTGGTATTCTATTATACCTTTACTCAAGTGCTCAATATAAGATCTATGACTCTCTGTCTTGTGCCGCTTGAGAACTTACCGTGTGAACGCACTCTGGTCACTTCATGATCTTACTTGCATCATATATTTTTAGAGAAGATCTTAGTGAGTAACTGGTAGCCACTCTTAGTTGCTTACCCCTTTGCATAGGTAACCATCCAGCTTGATCACCCATTGGATGCAGCAACTACAAGCCAACTTCAATACCTCAAGTTTCTGTGTTATATCCTGAACATCCATGCCAGTGTCTAGGGACAAGACAATGGGCCAATGGGTCCGTCATGACCAAAGGGCCAATGGTGTCACTGATACCAGGCACCCGATGGATACCACTGTTGATGGACAGACCAGAGCGACAGCTTGTGGTCTGCTACATTGTCTGTCATCTTCAACAATGCCATTGTCTCAGGAAAAATCTACATTGCTATGGCAGGCTATATATACTATAGAGTACTACCATAGCATTACTATAGCACTCTACAGCTTCTATAGCTCTGGGGTTTTGCCAGATGGTGGACAGGTGATTGTCCCGACAGTAGGCTGCAATAGACTGCAAAGCCGACCATGTTTTACTGACATGTTCCTGGCTTGTTCAGCCAGTTTAGACATTCGTGATCAGCTACCTCGAGGGAATTGACAAGACAACCTAAGTTCAATGCCTTGACTTTGTCTTGAACCACCTGTTGTACCCTCACATACATCTTGACAATCATGATATTGCGGGTGAGTGCTGGTACAGGCACAACAGCCACTGTCAAGTATAGGAACAGCCTTCAGAGTAGATGATTGCTGTCATAAAGGTCCACAGCTGATCATGGTCATGGCACCCTGAGGGTTGACTTGCTGCATGGTTATACAAGGAGAGTCCTTCAGAGATGATCCCATTAGTGTTGACTCTCATGTAATGAGTGAGCCAGGATACAGGTGAGATGCTGTAAGCCACATACCAATCATAAGAGTGGTTCTCCTACCTACGTCTGACCTCTCCGGCATGTATGATTAACCTATGCATAGCTCCTCTCACAGGCTCCTCGCTGTGGAGCTGGCAGACATGTACATACTTGTCATGAATGGCACACCAGCCACTGCGGCCATCACCATGAGTTCTGTGACGATGTCCTGAGCCTTCAATAGTGCAGGGTCTCCTGCCCATATAGATCTCATACTGTAAATTCTCAGAGTGAGCTTTCAATACCATATACTGCCTGACAGGTATGATAAGCTCATGTATAGCTCCTCTCACAGGCTCCTCACTGTGAATCTGGCCTGAGAATAACACCACTGAGCCTATAAGCTAAAGCGGCCACAGCTACGCAAAATAAGTACCAGAGAGCTGGCAAGTCACCACAGACAACACACAGGTGTTCCACAGAGTGCCAGACCCTGGAGCTGCATAAGGTGACCACCAAAAATGCTGAGAAAGATGTGAAGATCAAGTTGAGGCTCTCTACGGTTACATCAAGGATGAATATCAGAATTCCGTAAGACTTTCATTGAAACACGCTGTACAAAGGGATGCTTGGAAGACATTCTGCTGCACATTCACCTGGTGGGTGATGGGGAAGCCATATGAGTCCTCGGCACTATGTACGGAAATGCTTGCAGACCGACCGCACCATGGCTGCCAATTCTGGAAAAGATAGACAGGAGCCTCAAACGTTGGGGACGATTGAACCCAACGATTGTGGGCTGCCACCTGATAATCCAACTCACAGTAGCGAGCACGATGCAGTATCAGACCAAGGTCCAGGGCATGCCGAAAGACATCAAGAAACGCTTAACACAGAGTATAAGTGAGTTCATGCAAGCTGACAAGACAGTGGCTCCCATAGCTGCCGAAACACTACGTGCACCAGGTGCAGTTGGAGGCATGAATGTCCTCAACCTACAGGTGTGGAATTAAGTGATCGCAATCACGGACCTACGTGAGTATTTAGATCTGAGCCCTTTGTGTCTGCTGTGGGCCTTCTTTGCAGATGCAGTTTTTGCAGTGATTCTGCTGCAATCCAGCCAAGCCATCCCCCTAATATACACATAAATCCCTTCCTCCAGTCATGGCAGTCAAACCTCGGGTCTAACACGGCTCTCCCAGATGACCTCTTGCAGCTGTTGTCGACGGCACGTGATTTTGGGGTGCGGATAGAGGGTATAGCTTTCTCTCACAAGATCCTCCATGCCATGCCACTTTGGATCCACAAGGATGCGGATCCACGGGCACGACATGTCATACACTCACAAACAGCAGAGTGTCTGTGGGCACATCACAATGCTCGCACAGTTGGTGACACTGAGGAAATCACGAGAGGACTCACCCACCTGAACCACCTACACCAGAGTAACTGTGTGTGCGCTCACTGTGCCCAGACGAGGCGGTCCACAACATGCCAAAACCCGCACAAGTGCTACCAAAAAGCGGTAGAACTCCTTGACATGCTCCCAGAGAAGTGGGATCCCCAAAGCAGGAAACCAGAGGATGACAAGGCAGACTGGATCATGCCAGCAGCCGAGGCTAACCAGTCCACCTTTGACCCCCGTGTGACCACTCACGGAATGCTTGCCAGTATATTTTCCGGATCTTCACATCAGGTGCCACAACCAACACCCTGCCTCACCAGGTCAAAGGAAACCCCAATGCACCGACCCAGATCATTGCAATGGATGGCTCCTGTTTTCATAATGGTGATGCCGATGTGGTAGCCGGTGCAGGTGGCTATGTGTCCAAGGGCCATGCACTCAACTTCAGTGCCCGTCTCCCTGCTGATCTCGTACAAAGTAACCAGATGGGCAAGGTGGTCGCCGTGCACTTAGCAGCATGTACAGTACCACAAACTGCGCAAATGAGCCTCAAGACAGACTCTAAGTTTGTAGTTGGGGAATTGACAACAAACCTCAGGAAACGCGAGGACAACAGGTACATTGGCACTGCAAACAGGGATCTAACCTGGAAAGCAGTGGAAGTTATGCAAAGGCACCCCCACGCAATCACTCTTCAGTGGGTGAAGGGTCATGCTGATCATGCCAGAAACGAGGGTGCTGACAAAATGGCCGATGCCAGGGTAAGGCTTGAAGAATGCTTGCCAATCAATTGCACTCTGGACCCAACGTTGTCAGTATCTGGAGCCAAGCTACAAGGGCTGTCCCAACACATTACATACACCATGGTACAGGAAGTGGCCACTTGGTCATATGTGAAATGTGACTGGGCTAACCGCCACATCACCCTCGCTCAGGAAGCTGTGAAAGCAGCCACCGGTCATTCTCCAATGGAAGGCCAAGTGTGGCAGTCCCTACACCATTGAGACGTGCAACGAGAGACACATTATTTTCTTTTGATGGCACTGCATGACACCTACATGCTGGGCAACAAATGGAACAGAATTCATGCAAGGGCAGAGACACAACAGCGGGGCATATATAGCACATGCCAAGTTGAGGACTCCATGCAGCATGTCCTGACTATGTGCATGGAACCGGGGCAAGTGCAGATATGGCATCTCGTGAAAGCACTATGGACATGGCAAGCCCCAGACGTGGAATGGCCGGATGCCCTGCTCTTTGGGCTGATACTGGGGAGCCAATGTGTCGAGTTTTGGAATGGGGACCACAAGCCGAGACCAGGCTTGACAAGGTTCTTTAGAATCCTAGTTGGTGGAACATGGCAATGAACGTGAGACTGGACATGGACCAGAAGATGACTGACTCCTGCAGCTTTGGTACCAAAGCCCTACAAACCAACATTGTGTTGAGAACATGGTCCGGTGCATTAGCAGATGAAGCTAGCCTTCTAGATAACTGGGTAGGCCGGCGGGGTTTTGGTGGGTATTGACCTAATGGAACCAGATTGACGTCACAATACTTGATAGGTAAGTAAAAGGGAAGGTAAGTGAGCAAGCTTGCAGATGCTGGTTCCAACATACCAAATACATATGGCTCGCTACACGATGTTGCCTTCTGGTCAGAGTCCCACACTAATCGTGCCTAAAAGCATTTCCTCATGGAGTCATCCTCAATTTGTGCAAGGAGTCCTCCCTCTCTTTCTCTCTTTCACCACACAACTACTGGGGTTTAAACTCCTCAGGAACCCATTGCACGGCTACCTGTGAATGGCAAGACTGGTCAACGGGTAGGCCAAACTTACAAGTAATGTGTCCTTCCCTCCACACATGGTGCTCAACGCCTGCCCCTTGCAGCTTCCATGCCGTGTCCTCCCCAAGACCTTTAGTGAAACAACCAGGAAAGTGGTCCAAAAGGCCAGCAATAATGATTGGCATGGTCTTGCCAGTTCCTGTTCCTAGGACAACCTGCATGTTGTTGCAGTGCAGGAGCATGTCGTATATAGCCTCGTATTGACCCAGTGATTGGAATGTTGCATCGTTGCCGTAGAGCATACACATCTCCTTTATGACCATGAGCTTCCAGTAACAGATCTGATCCGCCTCTGGCTCTGAGTTGGATTATGTGCTTTGTGATCCTTGATTGCCAGCGTCCTCAGAATCATCCTCTACAGTGTACCAACACTCCTTGATGCACACGGCAATCATGCACGATCACCATGATTTGGTCCCGTGAAAATAATTCAGTGTATACTCATGCACTATGCCCATTTGAATCTACAATATCTAAGGGATTGGACTCATTTTTTATTTAATAAAAATTGGATACACCCCAAGATCGACCTTATCAGTGATTCCCACTCACTGTATAGTCTCTTGTACTTTGTCAAGTGCTAAGATCTAACTACATAGAAAGGAAGATACATGCATATACTTCAGGTGGCATCAGAAAATGAAGCACATCCAGCAGCTATACCATCTAATACATTGCGACAAGCCTATGATATGACAAAAAGTGTCTGGCAGTGCAGGCACAGAGCCAAAAACGGTCACGTGCTTTATCTGGCCATGCCAAGCTTTGCAGCATCTTGTTGCATTAAAATTGATTAATGACCTTCAAAAGTTATGCAAAGGTACGGCCAGGCATAAGATCCTTGACTGGTATTAATTTGATGGAGTGGTTGTATTGCATATCTGAGAGCCTGATTACAGCCCAGGTGGTAATACATCATGTGACTGCATCAACGAACGAAATCTGCCCCATCTGCTGCTGTTAGCTGCTGCACCCCTTCATCACTGTAGAACATGATGCCAAGCCTCAAAAAAATTGGAGCAGTATACTGTAGCACTATACAAGTGATTTATGTAGTTAAGTTTGAGCAAGGCAGTGCATAGAAAGTTCACAAGGCCATTCCTTGGGAAGTGCATCAAGGAGCATTGTTACACTGTATCTCAGGTGCCTAAGAGTGCGAAAAGTCCATCTCAATATCCAATGGTGGATTTATCACCTGCATATATCAAGAACATCCGCAATCTGATACATGTGTAGAACAGAAGCAGAAAGGCTCACCTTGGTGGCTGCCACCACAAGTCTGAGTCCCCTCTGCGGGTTGTGCATTGCGATAGCTGCATTGATTTACACCGGGTGCATCGTAAAAACCATAGGATTGTTGTCTGCAGTGACTTGCCAGCTCTCTGGCACTTATTTCGTGTGGCTGTGGCCATGTTAGCTTGTAGGCTGTGCTGAATGTTTTACTGGAGAGCCACAGATGGGTTGGGCACTTCATTCTGCTCACTGGCTGTGCTCTCCAGCTTGTTCTTGTGTTGTCCAGCTGCTAGATGCCCTTAGACAACAACATCTTCACCGGATCCATCTCAATCCCCACCACATACACCACACCCTCTGACCCAATTTCAGTATCCTATAGATGGCTCCTGCTGCTGCTGCAGCCTTATCCCTCCATGCCACAGCCCCAGTGCCGTTGGTGGGCCTCAAATCCTTTCCAGAGACAATGAATGAGACCTTCTGCTCAATGAGGTAGACCCTCATCTCAGGCATCCAGGTGTGGTAGATGTAAGTGTTGTAGTTGTTTTCCCCCAGTGGGGTGACCTTCTGGGTGCTGATGGAGGTGTAGGAGGACAGGAGACTGGACCCGAGGTCAGGAACATGCAGGATATGCTCAAACTTGAGCAACCACCCTCCCTGGCTTCACTCCTATCTGCTGCATGAAGCAGATAGAGCCCACACTGGCCAAGTAGGCGACTACAGAGTCTGCAAGGTGAATGGGTATCTTGTGGGGCTTGTATCATGAGAACCAGTCACAGTGAGGTGTCATATGACAAGGCAATAACAACACTATAGGCCCAGATGACAGCTGCTAAACAGTGGGGGTTATGGCCATATATAAACAGTGATCAATTACATTATCTTTTATGAGCCCTCTGCATACCCAGGGGTGTGGGATAATAGACCAACTATTAATATACCAATTACTTCAAACTGATTGCATAACAGCGACTGTGATAATATATTCCATTGTCCCGCCCCTAAAGTGATTAGGTGCAAGACACATAGAATGCTGGCAAGAAACATGAAGGTTGTCTATAGGTAGCCAGAAGCAGATATTGTAGAGTAAAATTTGTGTGACTGTATTCCTAGCAGCCAATCCTTAGTTACACAACTTTCCTTCCCAATACTCAGAAACGATCCACATTATTATAGATACATTTTAGCAGCGTTATAGTTTCATTCATGTCCACTTTGGACTGCCCACTACACCATCATGGTCAGATACCACAGCTACAGCAGTCAGAGCAACCTAGACAAATCTCAGAAAATGGGAATATGTGGGTACTCAGACCCATTGTCATGGTAATGCAGGGCTGCTGTGCAAGGCTGTGCAGATTAGTAAGCTTGCTGTGGATATTAGTAAGCATGCTGTGGTGCAGCAGGCGCTTAGTAAGCCTGTGATCTGATTGGATGGAGTGGTAATGGCCAAACTACCATAAAAGGAGGGTACGTGAGCCCTTCAGAGCAATCAACTACTAGTTTACCAGAATCGATGAGCGATCAAGAGAGACTGTAGATCAGTCTCTATAGGAATTAAGCAGCAAGAGTAAGATTAGGAAGATATTTGAGTGTTGACTTAGGCAATAGATCTAAGTATCACTCCAGGACATACAATATAGGATATAGGATACATTGAAGCAACAAGACACTTCCAGAAGAATGACAAGTGACACAACACTCCCAGGAGACTGATAACATATTCAGTGATTTCCCCATAAGCATGGGAACAGATTTCCAGTACAGACAAAAGGACACAGCTTAGTTCTCTGTTTATGTGATTATATTCAAGCGGCCCATTTCTTTCTCCTGATTCAACTAGGTCATCCCCAACTTAGATAGACCGGGACCCTAGGCAACTGTGTGACTATATACTAGCACTACAGTTTGCGCGACACTGTACCACTTCCTTCACATCACAGGCACATCAGGGCAGCTAATAGTCAAATGTGCTGTGGTTGGCATCTGAGCAATGCAGATGTTGGAGATTGAACATCAACATACAAGTCCACTTGTGACATGCAGAGTGCATTAGGGACATAGTTGGTACAATGTAAGGTATGGCATAGGGTGCGTAGAGTGCATAAACCCTTATATTTGCATCAAAAACAAAAATGAGCAAAGTTCGAGAAAATGGATCAATTGAATGACCAACAAACGGTACGAGGTAAATGAGAGGCATAGGTAGAGGGAACAGAATGTGCACAAACAACAATTAGTTAATAAAATGATGTATGGGGAAGGAATTCATGTAATGCAACAAATGAGAGGCTGTGATACTGTCAAAACCGTGTTAAGGTGATTGCGGAGGAGACATACCTTTGAACAAGTTACAAATGGGATGTGGGTGCTATCTATATAGTAGATGCAGCAGTAGTTGAAGTGTGTGATCTCAGCAGTGAAATGAGGTTTCTTCATCTTTTTAGAGTGGTTGGAGCCTGAATGGTTAGTTTTTTTTTTGGTGTAGGCTACTCTCAGACGGTCGGGCCAAGCCCACCTCCAAGAGATTATCGCCTGGTGAAAGTGTCGGTAAGATGTATCAGCCTGCATATGTTTCATAGTCATAGAAGTCATGTAACACCGTGTGGAAATGCATTACGCATTTCGAGTGTGAGGCTCCAACCACAGGGTGGGTTATCCACCCCAATTGTGTATTGGTCATATACTCACTAAAACCGTGCCCTTCCAGATCCAATGCTTGGGGAGGCTTTCCTCATCATCTAGTGTGCCTATCCAGGTTGTTAGGACCGTTTTCCTTGCTAGGGCCTTTGTGCCATAACGTGATCCGTTCGCCATTACCCTATCTAGGTTCAGCCATTGGTTGATCTTAGCTACCCACCTGTTGTGCGTATGTCTTTTCTCTGGGTGCTCCCTGCGTTGGATCCGCTGTTCACACCTGATGACCCATATTATGTAGGCCAACATCGCGATCAGGATCTTGTACAGTCGGGGACAAGCAAAGTCAACCAATTGTGTAGCGACCCGTACACATTTTTTTTGGCATTTCTGACTTCGGATTCGGAATCAGACTACCTGAAAACGTTCAAATCTGCACTCATTTCCAATTTCCCACGAGAATTCGGGAGTGCCAATTTTTTAGCAAGGATCAGGGGACCCGGGACGCTATGATCATAGTGCCGGAGGGCCGAGAACTGCATCTATCGACATCATGGCACGCTCGGAAACAGCTCGATGGCTTTTCTGTTTGCGAACCGCCCATTCCGCCGCTTTTCCCGTCAAACCCTTGCGATACGCACTCATAAACCACCATGATCTGTTGAAAAAGCGGCGTATCACATCAACAGGGCAAGCGTCAAGGCACTCTTGTGCATGCCGCTTCGCAGCCTCAAATTTATCCTTGTAGACTTTGCGATAGCGGTACTTGGCCCATCCCCAATACTATAGGCAAAGAATAGAATGAGACTTGGTGACATTGGAGAGGGATCACTAACCATTTCAATTGGGTTCAGCTCACAGTGGAACTTTGGCAGGAACATGCACAAGTGGCCGCGCTCTGTGATCTTCTTCTCCAACAAGGACACTTGGTTGCGGAAGTCATCCTGTTTACTCAGCAGTCGAGCCATGCAGCATTGCTCGTTCTCCCAGGGACAAACGGGAGAACACTTGGCCTGCATACCTTTCACGTCAAATCCTCGCTCCGCCAGGACTTGCTCAAGGCCCTTTGGCCGACCATCGTCCATAGTCATCTTCTGGGGTTTGCCCCGATATTGAACCGCAGGGTTGTTCATTGGGATCACTGTGTCATGTTGTTGGCGCTGCTTTCCGCCGTTGGACTTGTTCATATCGAATGCCCGGAGTGCATCTGGACCAAGTGAAGCGTGTGCCGAAGACTGATCGAAGATGAACAGTGCCTGGCAACCTGGATGAGCCTCTTCAAATATGTCGATAGCATTGTCCATCTGTGCAAGGAGCTGCTCGTGGTCCCACCATGCGCTTCCCTTGCTTCCAGGGTAAATTATGCACCGAGCATCACGCACGACCTTTCCGTTATCATCCAACACGACCAGCCTGCCGTTTTCCTCCTCAATGAAATCTGACACATGTATGATCCGACCTTTGCTTTTCTTCATCAGCTTTTGCTCTCCAATATCAACACGTAGCCTGTATAGTGGTGTCAATAAGTTGCATCATGCAATGACGAAAAGCTAGTCTGACCAGACTGAACTCTTGTATTCGCCGGCATGGATGCAGCTTTCATCCTGGAATACGGCGATAATACGCTTCTCGCCAGGTCCAAGGTTTGGCTCAACACGCCGCAGCTCTGGCCCAACAAACTGCACCATAGACTTCTCGTAGTGAGCCATCTGTGGCAAGAAGATATCTTGCTGGTAGGCAACAACGTCTGAATGTTCGTGGCCATCCATATAGATTCCTTTCTTCATCCGTGTTTGCCGCCATCCAAGCTTCACCAGCCAGCGCCTCGCAGTCCGTAGACAGATTGGCTTTCTCAAGACAATGCATAGGGTCATGAAGATTGTTTTGTTGAGTGCACGCCGGAATCGCTTTGGGGTGACCTCTCCAGACTCCAGGGATGATAACCACATTCGGCATGCTGCTTGCACCCGCTCATCGTTGAGCAGAGACCGTCCTCGATCTCCTCCTCGCCTCTCGATTGGCAACTGCTCGTATAGCTGATAATGTCGTGCAAGGGATCACACTCGCCGCGCCACATGTATCCCATCCGACTTTGTCAATTGCAACGCAATCTGCTGACTTGCATCCATCCGACCAAGACCCTTGCCCCGCAAAATCGCAAAGCTGCGAAGGATCATAAGCTGATTGATCGAGGTGAGTGTTGCACCAGCTTTTGACGCCTTTGCCAGATCAACCTCGATCTGTTTCAGCAGATCGTCCCAACTCCGGATTTCGTCAACCGCCTGCTCGTTTGGCTCCACACCTCCCACAATCCACATCGCATCTTCATCATCAAGCCGCATCCCGCACTCTCTCTCATGTGACCCAGTCTCGCTGTTGCTATCACTTTCCTCATCCATGCCCGGCTCCTCGATTTCTGCATCACCATCCGCCCCATCCTCGTCTTCAGATGGCAACTCAGAGCGGCGGCGAACTCTCGGAACTATAGGTGCTGGCTCTTCGTTATCTCTCAGGCTGCGGGTTGTCGACGCCTTCGCCAGATCAACCTCGATCTGTTTCAGCAGATCATCCCGACCCCGGATTTCATCAACCACCTGCTCGTTTGGCTCCGCATCTCCCGCGATCCACATCGCATTCTCATCATCAAGCTGCATCCCGCGCTCTCTCCTACCATGTGACCCAGTCTTGCTGCCGCTGTCACTTTCCCCTTCCACGCCCGACTCCTCGGTTTCTGCACCACCATCTGCTTCATCCTCGTCTTCAGATGGGGACTCAGAGTGGCGGCAAACTCTTGCAACCTCAGGTACTGTCCCCTCGACCTGCTGGATGCAAATGTGTTCGAAACCCATGTTCGACAATAGTTTTTGGCCCTGCATCCGATGTCTGTGCCGATACTGCGACCGTTTAGACTTATTTGCCACAACTGGGCCGATAGCGTAAGTTTTTGGCCTCGCTACGTAGGAAACTCGATTGTGAGCACATTGCATGCCTGTGGAATGCTTATACTCACGTTTCTTCTTCGCTTTTGCAGCCTGTTCTCTCGGCGGCAGCCATTCGTCATCACCTCGCATCAGTTTCCCCAAGCTCCCGGCCAGTGCAGCCATGGACCGGCACACCTCTTCTGACTCCACCCAATCATGATCCCATACTTCAAGATCATCTTCGTCCAATATGGAGGGCTTCAGTCCGACCCGTTCTGCCTGGGGAGTCCAGTCTGAGCCATAGTCCTCATGGGTGTCAAACGGCTCTGGTGGCTCAACAACATCTTCTCTGCCTTCTAGAACCACTTCACAGGTCTCATTGCCCGTGTTACTGGTTGCCTTTTGATTCCGTAAACCAGTAATGTTCCGCTTTCGAGCCTTTTTCGGCGGACGGCCACATTTGTTTGCGGTCATGATGAGTTCGTGTCAGTCACATGATCAGTCTTTGTCTTTTTTTCTGACGAATTTCGGCTCGTTAGAATCATCACAAACCATCCAAAACACGCACAGAACACGAAAACGAAGCAAAGGAGCTTTTTTTCGTGATTTTAGGGGCATTTTTCGGGGTGTGCCAATTTTTTCGGGGTGAATCGACCATAGACTCAGTTTCTGGGAAATCTGCTCGTGCAATCCTCAAACTAGCATGTATAGTAGCACATATAAAGCAAAAGAATGGCAATAAGAACATATTTGGCGTCGTAAAAAATCGGTCATGTTTTTGGTTGACTTTGCGTGTCCCCGACTGTAGAACCTGCTGATACTCCCGTCTTTGTCATTTTCAAAGCTCACCATGCATGACACCATGATGGTGCCATAGGCACAGCCTAGCTATGGTTTGGACATCTTGTGGCTCCATAGGGTTTCCTCCAGTCACCATATTATGGAGCATCCACTGCCCTCACAGTTGGTGAGTATATGCTTTATTGATTCAGTGCAGTCGCATACGCCGCAGACTGCCCTGTTTTCATAGTTCTGTATCTTCTCCCAGAAGCTGCCCACCCGGTGGACTTTGTGTACGGTCTTGTACAGGAATGCACATTCAGCTCTCAGCAAGACCGGGCTACACGTTGCTTTCCATATCTGGGCATCCGAGGGGGGGTTTTATGCCCAAGTCCGGCTGACACCCATTTTATAATGTCAAGGTTCATTGCGGTGTGCCTCCTCATTGTGGGTTTCTTTTTCCTGATGAGGCTCCAGTATAGAGTGCACTGAGTAGAGGTAGAGAGTTTTGCTCTGTGTATTGTGAACTCTGGTGGGGGGGAGGCACGGTCAGTTCCTCAACTGGTCCCGCTTCGGTCACCTCTTTTGCAGCTTCTCTCGCCTGCTTCACTGATGTGTTCCTCCCTTTCAGGAGTGTCATTATGAATGCTGTCCAAGCCTCTCTGGCCCTTATGTTTGCAATTGCGGCCCTCTGTGCATTGGACTCGGCTTTATTGATCCAGTCGCCATCCTCGTTCCTGGCTCTTTTTTTCATGAGCTCCTGGATCACGGCCTTGCTTTTGACATGGAGTATGAGTGGTTTTGAGGTGGGGATTAGGCTTGCAGCCTTTGCTATCGCTTTGTAGATCCCCTGTGTGTAGGTTGTGGAGTCCCCACCTGGGGTGCAGAAGCCTTGGTTATACGGGCTGTTCTCCCCAGCCCATATCCCCCCGGTGTCTGGTCTCCTTGCCCTCCTTGGACCATCTGACCCCCGCTACTGCCACTGAGATCGCTGACGTATCTCTGGGGCTTGTTTGTGGTTTTGACGGGGCCCTTCATGGGGTGTGGTTCCCTGCAAAGATGCGGAAGCAGTCCTTTGTCTGTTTCACTATGTGGTCGGGGTCAAAAGGCTGCATTTGTCCCCTTTCATTGTTGAGTATCTCCCTGCACAGGGTGTTGCTGTCGAAGACCCTCCTCATGTACTGGGGACCGGTGAGTTGCAATCTTTCTCCCAGCTCACTGTTGATTCTCTCACAGGCTTTGCGGCATGCTTCAGGGTTTGTGCACCCTCTCGCCTTTGCCCTCATGCACGCACTGCACAGGCAGTCTGCCTGGGCTCTGTGGTTGTTAGGCCAGAAGTGGGCATAGTGTGCGGAGTCTCCCACAGTTAGTAAGTTGTGATTTTGTCTCAGGCACTTTGCTCGTGGTGTGTTCTGCAGGCACTTTGCAGTGGACACCCCTCCGATATGGATCCATAGTGGGGGCTCGGCTCTTACATTGGTGCTGAATTCTATTGCATCGAACTTTAGGTCGTGTTTGACAGCGGTGACAACCAGGTCTCGCAATTATTTTGTTAGGCTGCCCCCCTTTGTCTTAGGCTTCCATTCTTGTTGAAAGTAGTTCATCAGGGTGCTCCCATCCCAGTTGCTTAGTGACTTCAGGACATTCTTTCTCATTGTCTCGTCAGCAAGGTATGCCCATTTTGGGCATGTCGGCCCGATGTTCAGGTACAATTGCAACCATGTCAGTTGAATTGCTTTGTTTCTTTCCTTCAGGCACAGGATCTTTTTTTCCTCCTCTAGTACAGGTCTTGTCATCATGCCCTTATTGATTGGTGGGGCTTTTGGAGAGTTCCAGATGAAGGTCTGGATCGTTTTTGTCAGTGTCTTTTTGATCTTGGCCGGCATCCCCTGGACTTTTGTGAGATACTGGCTCATTCCTCCTATCACCATCTGGACAATTAGGTGTCTGCCCTCCAGTGTCGGGTGGCTTCTCTCCCATCTGCCCAGCACCACATCGATCTTCTCCAGGGTTGGGCCCCACAGGATGGCATTGTCGGCTCCATTTCCAATCCAGGCCCCCAGGTAGTGGATAGCCTCGCCGTTGCTCCCTATTTTTATGCCTTCTGGGATGCAGTCGTTGCTAGTCTCTAGCTTGCACGTTGTCACAACTTCTGCTCTGTATTGTGCCGGGCCTAGCGGTATCACCCCAGTCTTCAGGACGTTGAACTTTGCACCAGATGTGGCGCACCATTCGTCCAGTATCGCGGTGAGGTCCTCGAATCTGTTGAGGTGGTGTAGAATGACTGATGTGTCGTCAGCAAATAGGGACACAATAGTGTGTTCCAGGATTCTGGGGATGCACATCCCCTGTAGCGTTGATCCTCGGATCATGTCTGTGAGTGGTTCAATTGTGAGGTTGAAGAGGAAGCAGGAGAGAGGGTCCCCCTGTTGCACACCTCTGATCACACCGTATTGTGTGCTCAGGACACTGTTTATTATCACCAGGGTCTCAGCCCCGTTGTACAGGTGCTTTACTGTGTCAATGAACATTTTGGGAAATCCCATTTGCTCTAGCGTATCCCAGAGGTACACGTGCTCAATCTTATTGTACACTTTTTCTTGGTCCAGGGAGATTAGGGCTCCCCAGAAGTCAGACTGGTCTGCGTAATGTGTTGTCAGTTTTGCTAGCTTCACCTGGTGGAAGATTGATTGTCTGGGGATGAAGCCGGCTTGATCTGGGTGGACCACTTCTTCAGCAACCTTCGAAAGACGTAGGGTTATTGCTTTGGTGAATATCTTATAGTCAGCGTTCCGGATGGTGATCAGGCGGTAGTTGCTTATGTCCTGTCTGTCGTTTTCTTGTAAATCAGGCAGATCCATCCTAGTGAGAAGTCTGTTCCAGGGCTGATCCTATACTTTTCTATATCATTGAAGACTTGGGTGAAGATCCCGGCGATGTCGCACGTTGGTTTGTCGCTGTTCTTGGTTTTCTTGTATTGTTCATGCAGGTACTTCCACATCTCCAATGGGAGTCCATCCATCCCAGGGGCCTTCCCATTTAGGGCACTCTTAATTGATTGAATTACCTGGTCCCTTGTGACCCCTTGTTCCCTGTGTTTCCTTTGCTCTTCGCTGGGGTGCAGTTTTGTGCCGTTTCTCACTCTCAAGCGGGCTTCGTTGGTGACACTGTCTCATCTCCGTCCTAGGGTCTGCAGTCCCTTGTGGTAGTCCTGGGCCACTTTGGCAATTCTCACCGAGCTTGTCAGGAACTCTGGTTCGTTTGGTCCGCCTTTCTTCAGGTTTCAGATTCTCCTGAGCATATCTCTTGGTCTTCTATCACTGTTGATGGTGGACCAGTATTTTGATATGACTTCCCCCTTGATCTGGTTGTGCGCAGCTGAGTCCGTTCGGGTCTGGGTATGCTTTGAAGTGGTCAGCTCCTCTATTCTCTTGTTCAGTATTGCTCCCTGGATGGAGCACTCGTTCTCATCAATCTCGCGGTTATTGATGGTCTGGCTGAGGTGGAGGTTCAGGCCAGCAATCTTCCTATTGATCCGTGGGATCCGTTTCCTCTGCATGTCGCGTATGTTGCTTTCCAGCTCTTTCTTGAAGTCCGCAAGCAGGGTTTGGGGGTTCCATGTCAGGGAGTGGTGGGGTAGCGTGCAGGCGAGTTGGACATCTGCTTCTAGTTCTCGTGTCATTGTTTCAAGGCTTTCTCTTACCGCCTTGTGTTTCAGTATTTTGGCGTGCATGGCTCATCTCCCTTTCCCTATGAAAGGTTTGCTTGCGTCTGTTAGCTGGATGGACATCATCCAGTGGTCTGTTTGGACTGCACCAGGGGGTTCTATCTCCCAGACGTTGCAGTCGTGGAGTGTGTGTTTGGTGGTGTATATACGGTCAATCCATGAGTGAGAGCTTGTTGCATTCTGTGTGTAGCTGTACCTAAGGTAATCATCATGTTCTATCCTCCAGCTGTCGTGCATTCCCATCTTTGCTTTGATAGTGTGGAAGGCCTCTGTGGCTTTGCCGTTGTCATTATGCATTGAGAGGCGATCCAGCTTGTCTTTGATTAGGTTAAAATTGCCCATCATCATGTCAGGTTTGGGGAGCCATTCCATCCTCCATAGTCATTTCAGGTTCATCCAGAATTTGGTGTTCTCCTTGGCCTTGTTCGGTGCGTAAACCCCTAGGATTACTAGTTCTTGATCCAAGTGCCATGGTATTCTCAGCACGATGGTGTGCCCTGGGATTATGTTTACAATGGTCACGTCTTCTGCAATTGTGATTTCTCTATTAAGGATGAAGGCAAGGCTTCTCACGGTGGTTGGTGATTCTTCATCCTCAGAGTTCAGGACATGCAGTCTCTTGCTGAAGACTGACCCAATCTGGTTCTGCAGTTCCGCCGTTAGGTGTGTTTCTTGGAACAGGAGGATGCTGATCTTGCTGTCCCGCATCAACTGGTTTATGTGGAAGCATCTGTTGCACGGTTTATTCTGCTCGAGGTGAGTCATGTCCCCTCTTCCCCTCATGTTGAGGCTTGTGATCTTGATTGATGCCTTGGTATTCTTCATCCCCTTAGGTTTACCCAGTTTAGTGCCCGGGCATGGGGCGGTATCAGGCTCCCACATCATGTCTTCATCAAGTTCGAAGTCACATGATTGTTGGGGCCCTTCGTTGTCCTCAGAGCTGTCATCGTTCTCTTTGTGCATGGCACTTGCCCTGGTGCTCCCGGCTTCCTCTCGTGTCTGGGCACCCAGTTGCGGTGTTGTTTCATTGTCATTTGTCGGGCAGTTACTCGCCTCCCGTGGTTGGTCTGGGAGGCGGGTGGCTTCCCTGGGTTCTAGCTCATTTGTCTGCGGTGTTTGAACTGTGGAAGTCCCACCGCAGGGTGGGGGATTTGCTCTGTTTAGACTGTGCATCTCCGTCCCATGCACAGCGGACCGCACTCTCGTCCAAAGGCTGTCTCCCTTATTGGGGCAATGGTTAATGCTCAATGTTGGTTGTTGTTCGCTCTCTCTAATTATTGTTGTCATTGTGTTGTTTGTGACTGAAATTATCCAGGTTTAGTTGGTGGGCAATCTGCCTACCTTGCGGTGTTCGCTCGTTCGTTTTTTGGTCCTGCCCACTACGGCTGGCGCTATCCTAGGTCACTTGCACCCTTCGATGTTATGGGCTGGGTCGGTTCGGGTTGGTGTGTCCTTTCCTTCAGTGACGGTGAGTGAGATATGATTATTATTTGGTGGGGGGCTCTAATCTACGCTATTCAGATTGGTTCCACCCAGAATATATTGAGGCCCATTGGGATGCTCATATTCAGCAGCCCCTTTGTGCGCGCAATTGCCCACCTCCACTAAGACACTCCGAGGTCTGTGTCATCCAGTTTCGGTATGGAGAGGAGGGTTAATTTTGAAATAGGGGGGCAGTTTCTGTCTGTGATTATGGGGGGGGTTCTTGCCCTTTGTGTCCACTATGATGGAGCTCCAGATGGGTCCGCTCAGTTTGAACGTGACATAGTTATTGTCGATCTGATTGATTGTGAGGATACCCCATGCTACGGCACCCAGGTTATCAAACAGGCAGACCTTGGTGCCGTGCCAGGTGGTGGGGAGGGGATTTTCCTCTGACGGTTTGTATGCCTGCCAGTGAGCATCGCACCTCCCAGCTAAGGTTTGTTTAGCGTGGATTGGGCTGTATTCAATAAGGAATGGAGTTGGGCTCGAGGTGCTCGACATTGCTTCTGTGTTGTGACCTTTCGTGTTAATGTACAGTCTGGTCAGGCGAGGGATGGCTATTGTACCTGGGTAGACAAGCGTGTTGCATTGGTTCCCTTGGGGGGGCGACTGCTTGGGATTTTATCTCTTCCTCTCTGCTTTAATTCTCATGCCTGCTAGCCAATTGTCGGGCAGGGAGGTGGTTCAATTCAGTGAGTCATACTCTGGTTGACTGTTTATAAAGTGGTGTCTCCCAGGAATGACATAACTTGTAGAGCACTTTATAAAGCAATTATGTTAAGCAGCACTACTTCAAGTGGTCTTCAGGTGGTTGCTCTATGGTCACCTAGTGCCGGGTCTATTTGGTTGCAGGGCATTCGTACCCGTGTTCTTCCTTGTCGTTTTACAAGGTTCTGCCACCGGGTCACTTACTTTCTCACTTCACGTCAGAAAAAAGGGGGTAGGTCACATAAATTGTGCTGAGAGGGGGTTTATGCACGTGTTTATGTACATCTCATATTCTATGTTTGTTACGGGTACAGCTATCGGGAGTCAGGAGTCAGGGTCCTACTTCCTACCGCCAGAGCCTCTGCCTCCTCTCCGTTTGTTCCCTCCGCAGTTACTCTCAGAGTGTTGTTTGGAGCCCCCTTCTTGCCATGGGAGTTGGAGATGACGGGCGCAATGGATTGACCCGGGATGGCCTTGGGGGCAGTGTGCTTGGTGTCGAACCAGTTTGGGAGTGCCTGGAATTTGCATACTGCACGTTGATGGTCTACGCTTGAGCAGTATGAGCAGCGCATGTGACCGCCGTTGGTGCCCGTGCCCCATTTGGCCTTGTACTCAAAGCTTCGGAGCATCTCCGCCCAGTCTGAGTGGTGTTTGGGTGGGATCAGGCAGTTGATGTAGAGGTTCCAGCGTGACTTGTATCCCTCATTGTCACCTCGGGGGATCTTGAGGGGTTGTAGCTCTACCATGCAGAGGTCGCTTTCCATGTGTTTGTCGGCCCCCGCCGGGCTGTCAATGTCGGCCACATTGAGCTCGGTCGCGCTGACCGTCACCATGTTGCAGAAGGCCGGGTTCTCATGCAGGAAGCTTAAGACCTCGTGGAGTTTCTCCTTTGTGTTGTCATGGCATGTGAAGTTCATGAGCGACACTGCAAAGGTGGGCAGGGGGAGGGGGTGGGGGAGTACAAACAGTGTTCCAACCTTTGTGGACCATACGGGCTGTGTGCAGAGAGTATGCACCACATTGCGATTGAGCCCAGTTATCATGTAGAAGGGTTCTGCCCGTTGGTTGTTGGAGATTGGCTGGTTGACCAGGACATCATGGAAGGTGCCCGGCTCCAGCGGGCCAAACTTTTCCTTGTTCTCAGGGCATATGTAGTCGAGTATGCTGAGGAAATATTCCATGCATGCATCCAGGTTGGCAAATTCGTGAGGGCAGGGGGGAGGGGGGGTAGACTATCACCGAGGTTTGCATATCCTGGGCGCTCCATGCTTCATGTTGGGCCGGTTTAGTGTGTAGGAAGATGTTGTCCCATTTTCAGGTGTGGATTGTTGGGAAGCATCCATTCTCCGGTTTGGCATAGAGGCCTTCAAACTTGAGGACCGTGGAGTCGACCATAGGGGGGGCTGCCTGCGGCTGTTCTCCCAGCATCTGTAGGTTGGGAGGAGTACTCTGCGGCTGGTCTCTTGGGGGGGCTTGAGCTGTATGTGTGTCAGTAGCTTGGGGGGGATTTCCCTGCTCGCCGGTTTGTGTCGCAGATGTGTTTGCGGTGTCTATCTACATCCCGTCGTGGTCAGGGTTGGGTGTTTGGTCTGGTGGGACTGTCTGGGGGTGTTGGCTATGCCCTTCATCGCCGCGTACGCGGAGCGTCGCCTCAGCTGGCATGTGTTGGTTGTACAGGACCAGGACCTCTGGGAGAGGGCCTTGGCTATGGGGTGTTGGGCTTGGGCTTCGGTTTGGATTCTGGTGGCGGGCTTTCTTGTGGTTACAGCCCAAGGTAGTAGAGGTGCCTGCATGCTTCTCACCCGCCTTGACAGGTTTGGGCATCTGCAGGCGTAGACGTTCGGGGATTGTTGCTTGAAACAGTTTGGAGAGTATGGGTGCATGCTGTCTAGGTGTGCATGGTTGACAACGAGGTGGTTTCATGTTGACTAATTTTCCCCAGCATCGAGGCCGTTGCTGCACCGCTTAGGGTATCCTTAGCATGTGCCTGTGGTCTAGGTGTAGGTGGACTCCGTCGGGTTGTGTATTGGCAAGGATGCCCAGTCAGGCTGGACAGGGGGTATTGCACCTGCCCTTCCCCCCGGTTTTCCTCCATTCCTTGTGCTCGGTTGATATGTGTGTGTGGTCTAGGGCACTCGGGGTACATGTAGTCTACTTAGTGTAGTTTAGTGGGGTAGGGGGGTTGGGGCGTGTCTCACCTAAACCCGCTGGGTTGTTCCAGGGTTTTTTTTTTTAATTTGGGGGGGCCTCCAGTGAACAATCCGGTACAAATGTACAAAATATTGGAGTTCTGAGGTAAAGCGAGGAACGAGCGGAAACGTGAGAACAGGGTCTATGGGGGAGCGTGCGCCTTTGCGGATGGCGGTACACGTAGCTTGTCCTCTGCCTTGTACGAGGCGCGCGCGGAGAACCTTGCTCGCCAGCAGCTCTGCAAACTCAATACATCTTCGAAAATCCCTCCCAACCCGCCCAAACATGAGGTCTATCCAGGAGGAGGCAGTTCAGTGACAGAGCAAGCCCAGACAGTTGAAGATAGCTGACCTAATTGTCACGCATGACTACAAGTAACACAACCGTGACGACCCAGTTTTGAGTGTTCAGAGCAGGAGGCATGTGTGACGGCGCAGCCAGTGCAGAGCTCGCTTTAACCATGACCTCTCCAGGTAAGCACGCTCATCGCCGGCAGGGGGCGGGGGCTGATAGCCAGGAGGCGGGCAGGTGTCCAAGGACGGCCAGACAGACCTCAGCAAACGGTGAGGTTCAAGGTAGCGCTCCGGGTCCAACACTGCGAACATAGTGAGTCAGGACCTGAATATTAATTCGCCACTCACCATCGTAGTGGATGCTACGCCAGCCTCGGCCATCCATGGCAGTAACGTGTGGAATTACTGGAGGCTGGTGGTGGAGATGGCTGGCCACAAAGACTTCATTGGCAGGAAAATTCAAGCCAGCGGTGGGCTTGGGCCAGAGGAGAGGGGAGCAATGAGCGACAGGGGGTTTGGCAAGGGACACGAGAGAAAAGGTTGAAAGAGCGAGGGTGTCTTGCATAATCCTAACCACTAGCCATGACCTTTTAAGCGCATCGCTTAGGTGATTACGGCACCACAGTGCTGCACATTATGAGGTAAAGGTGAAGGGTAGTATGCGAAGGGTTAACAATTGGTAGGACAACATAGATTGGTAGGACCATGTAAATTAAAAAAGAAGAGAGAAGAGGGGGGAAGAAGAGAGTGAGGTGGTATATCTCGGAACTGTAGCATTAGGAAAGTAAGAGCAGGGAGTAGCACACTAACTGAGCCTCACAACTATCTCATGCAATTGGGCTTAGGAACCCTCTTAGTCAGGCGAAGGCCAGGCCAGGCAGGTAGACATGTCCCTCCCGCCGCACCATGTGGTGTCCCTGTCCCGCCCATTGCCGCTCAAGCCACCCGCAGGTTCCTGAGCCGGTGAGCCCCTTTTGGGGCTCTTGCCTGTTCCTTTCCTTTGCACCTTTCATCATACAATAGCACACTTAGAATAAGCACACACTTATTTGGTAATTAAATAAGACAGCAAAGCGAGCAAAGAACATAGATCCTCCTCTGGGAGAGAGGAGTTAACCCCTCCAGCTTGTTCAGGCAAGCTGGAGGGTTGGTCTGGGGAAGATGCCAGACTAAACATTTGACAGTAGAGTCAAAAGCCAAGGAGCCCCTGAATGGTTAGTTCTGGGGAAGAATTTCATCAACTGCACTACAAACATCTGAAATTGACCAGGAACACTCACCCGGTCACCACCCACATTTCCCAAACCTAGAATGCCCATATCTCTACCTAACCCATGTCCTGATATACTCCTCTGCCTCAATCCTCTTCTCAGGCATGCTCTTGTAGGCATCTTCAGGCCAGATTATGAAGACATTGAAGGATATGTGTCAAGAACAAGTCAAAGCCTAGGTCTGATGCTGGAGAAGTGACGTCCAGACCCAGAACAGGGAGCTGAGTGGATCTAAGTTGGAGATAGTTGGAGCAGAGGTTTGAGATACAGAGTTAGAGTACGAGAAAGATGGACCTGACCTAAGCTAAGGGCTTGAGTTGCTATGCACTCTGAGTCCATGTCAGAGCAGAATAAAATGTCTTAGTCGATATTTGGATGGATGAATACAGTACAAGTACATTAGCTTATATACCAGTGGACCATGAGTTGTCAGAGCTCAAAACTACATGAGTATCCAACGTGTATCAAAGGAGCATGAAAGTTTGTGATGGAAATCCAAGAGTTCCAAAGGGAACATAAATCTAAATAAGGAAGAACATATGTAAAACATGCTTAAAGGTCAGAGTTGAATCCATGATGTATCAAGAACTACCGGGATGTTGAGTCATTGGAGAACTAAGTATGTGATAGTCCAGCTCTGATGTTGGAGCTGTAGGTCTGACAATGGAGTAGCGGAGTTGATCCCCGGTGAAAACGTGATATATATCCTTGAATCTGCTCGAATTGCGAGACTGGCTGGCTAAGATAAGCGAGACTAAGCGAGAGCACAGACGAAAGCGTTTTTCGCGATGGTACCATCAATTTATTCGATGGTATTCGGCCATGCGTGCGTTTTTACACTGTTTGACACTGCCATCTGAATTACTCGGTATACGGTCGTATTGCTAGTGCTTCGAGGGGTTGTTATTCCACCACATTCAAACACATACGAAGGTAGTATTGGGTGCACATCTTATTCCCCCGAATCCCTTCGAATTTCTGTTGTGGGCCAATTATCGGGCCTTAGGGTATATCCAAATAGAAAACACTCTTATTCAGTGCTACACTACAACACTGTCCAACAGTAGTATAGATAATCTTGGAGGAGGAGGAGCGGGGGGGACGATGATCGGGCCGGGCTGGGGGTGTGGGAGAGGGCTGCTGGAGGACATCGAGTTGCGCTTGGCGCAGGATGTGGACTGCATGCGGGTTGGGCCGGGGCTGCTGGAGGGCGCCCGAGAGCGAGAGTGGAAGTCCGAGTCTGAGGGGACGCTGGTGCCTGGCTGGGAGCCGTTAGAGGTGACGGGCAAGGGCATGAGCGAGTGGGTCAACTGGTTGAGCGAGTACTTGAGGGTATGTGCGAGGAGGAGGACACGAGCGAGGACGGCTGTTGCTTGTGCGGTTGCGGTGGGTGTGGGTCGAAGCGCATGGACGAGTTGAGCATGGGCAGGGTCGAGTTGAAGTGCGCCAGGGTGGAGAAGTCGTGCAGCGAGCTGGGGTGGTGGTGGTGACGTGTCCCGAGTGAGGACGCGCAGCCAAGATCAGGCGGGCGGTGGATTGTCTGCAGGAGGGAGAAGGCGTGCAAGTTGGAGAAGGGCGCGCCGGACGAGGTTGCCGAGTTGGTGAGGTGCAGGTTGTGCGTCAGCGGGCCGGAGATGTTGAAGATGTTGTGCGTTGAGGGCCGGTAGCCGTCGTTGTAGGTGCTCGTGGACAGCTCGTGCAAAGACTGGTGGTGCTGGTGCTGACCCAGGTTGGCACTGTTGTTCGGGTAATCTGGAGCTTGAACGTCGTGCCGAACACGATTAAGAGTAGAGGCCATGGTGAGTAACCGTGTGTACTGAACTGAATAAATGACTTATTGGAGGCGGACGACAGAGGAGACGGCGGTGGGGGCAGCAGTCAGTTGCAGTGGATGCTTCAGCACATCTGAAAGCCATGGAGGACGGCTAGTCACGGGGGGTACAGGTGAAAAGCCAGTGCTTGCAGCAAGCAGGTGCACATGGGTCCTTGAGGACAGCAAGCTGGAGAGCGTACGTCGTTCAGGGTAGCATAAGTCAGTGCGCGTGCTGTCATAGAGGGGTGTGTGTCAGTGCGTACATCATTGAGGGCGGTGTTTGGTTGTCGTGTTTGTGGCAGGTCCATCGAGGAAAGGCGGCCCATAGTGCCAGCAGGACGATGAACGTAGTTGGCAAGCCATGGGAATTCGCATCCCATGGACTTGACACAATTTCGCGAGCCCATGACCGGAGCCAGAAGTCTTTTGTGCATGCACGGCAGCTTGCTGAATTCTGGCTAATTCAGAAAATAAGCTGCGAGAGCAATGCATCTTGGACTACATTGCACAATTCGCTGGAATACGCATGCAAACGCTCGCTTAGGTTTGCTTACTCAGCCAGGGGGTCAGCCTATTCCAGGCAATTCGGTAATACAGAGTCACTTTTCACCGGGGTTGATCGGTGATTGGCACATGGCAGAGATGGCCGTTGATTGGCATGTGACAACATGTTGAGGCTCGGTAGTTTCAGGAATAGAGGGTGCCAAAGAACAGATAGGTTGCTACGTATGTTGCCAGTAGGTTGTTCCACAAAATGGAGACAAAAGATGTGCCCAGAGTGCATCCTCCAGTTAAGGTAACCCTAGACCAAACAGAACAGAACCAAGTGATATTGAGCTAAAGACAACTGTACATGGGTGTCTGAGTGGGTGCTTATATCCATACAGCTCAGAATCATGTTAGGAGGGCACTATATGGTCCTCGGGCACCCTGATTATTATAGGTATTGACTGCGTCCAATAGGACATGGTATTTCTTTGGTTACATCATGCCACCTTGGGTGGCTGACTAATGTAGTCTACGGTAATACTATGCTACCATTACACCCTCCCCCCTCTAGGAAAAGAGAGTAAGTAATTGAATTAGCACATTGCAATGTCTATGTACTCACTGCGACTCAGGCACCTGCCAATAGATACAGTCACCTGTGCTTTCTCACACCACCATAGAACCCTTGTAGCTGGTGAGCCATTTCACTATGAACGCCTGGAGGGGGCCTTTGGCCATCTTGTGCTGGAGGCCACAGTTCACCGTGTGATTCAGAAAATTCCCAATTTCTATGTTCTTGCCATACAGGTACAGCATCAGGGCTCACATCTTGGAGATTGTGCATCCCAGCAATATGACGGTGCTTTAGTATTCTTTGGTGTGCTCTGTGAAGTATCAGCAAATCACGTGATTGCATGTTGTCGAACGAGTTTTGTGTGTGTGTGTTGAAGAGGCAAGAGGAATGCTTGAGGCAATAGGAGTATATCACCGATTCTTCAGTTTCTTCTTCAAAACTCCTGAGGTCCCAGTCTATCTAAGTTGGGGATTGCTCAGTTGGCCGTCAGTTAATAAACCTGACTTGAATTTGATGAGACAAGCTTCTTGTGAGCTCGTCAGCAATACTTTAAGAGGTAAGTTGGGAGTAGGCCTATATGGAAGGCTTGAGGAATTCTGTGTTGAGGTCTTGTGTGACATGTCAAGCGTTGAAGTTCCTAAAAAAATAAAGAGAGAGATCAGTTGTTCCTTCACTGGGTCTGTGACTGCATTTTTAGACCAAAAAAATGTATAAATCTTATAAATCTTATAAATCTTTTCATGATTTTATACAGAGGAAAATCTTAAACCAAATTAATAATTTTTAATCCATTTTTACAGCTAAAAGTTTAGAAGAAAAATCTTATAAGTTTATCATGATTTCTCCATTATTTATATTTGCATTTTTGGCTCTAAAAGTTCGAAACCATGTTTCCATAAAATGTTTATTTGTATATTTATTTATGATTCTTGGGTAGAAATTTTGAAACTCATGTGCAGAAAGTTCTTATATTCAACTAGTGCGGCTCATTTACATATGGAAATTTCAGAACATAGATCAATAGTTTTTCAATATAGTTGCTTGGTTGACAAACTGGTTCAAGATTTTTATGGCAGGAAATCTTTTACAAAAATCTTGAAAGAGACACAGGATTTTTCAACAATTAGATCATACTTTTGTGAGGTAAAAGTTCATATGCCAGTTTACGATCTTTACAGAATCTTTTGGGCTAAAAATGTTATAAAGTTTTATAAGATTTTTTCATCACTTTTAGAACCAAAAATCCAGTCACAGACCCAGTGTGAGGGCTGCCGCGCAATGTGCAGGGTCCTAGAAAACCCAAAAGAGTAGAAGGAGCACCTGGAGAATGCAAGGAGGATACGAAAAGATGAGTGCTGGAGGTGTGCCATGACAACATCCATTGTTGCTGCAGAGAGCAAGATGTTGCAGGGGTTGAGGCCGGAAACCACTTCTGTGCCACCATCTATGATACTACAATAGCAGGAGCTACAAATGAGTTTGCTCAGTTCATCCAGCTGGTGTTGATGCAGGGCTTGATGGTGATGGCAGGTGAGATGGGTGGATAATAAGACAATGATCAAATGGGTTGCCAATCAAGGGAAGTTTACTGATGATAGGCATGTAAGGCAACAAATCATCAGGATCCAGTTGGGTGGCCCACATGTCTGCACATACTGACTATGACATTTCATGGATTATGTAAACTGACAAGTGTCACAGGACGTGAGTAAGGGGGCGGCAAGCGCCTCATTCCAACTCCCCCGTCCCACCGGATTGGTCATTCGGGCGGAGATTACAACGGATCACAAGGCACAGGTCACCACGTGGTTCAGAGCTCCAACTATGCACCGTCAAATTTACATAGTAAGCAAGCGCCCAAAGCTCTACATCCCAAGTCCCAAGATGGAAAGTGTCATTACGCAGAGAAGAAAATGTGCAGTAGAGGTAATGATTACGTAACTGACCAGTATCAGCAACAATGTAACCTTTGGCACCTTGGTGTGCTCCTTGATCAGATTGACAACTGATCCCAATACATGATCTAAGCATTCTCACACTCACTTTGTCACGCTGCTGCAGTCAGATTAATATGAGCGCCCAGCTGTCCGATTTCCGCAGAGCCATTGCGCTTTATCATGCTTTTGTAACATTTTGGCGGGGTCACAGGGGGTGTCACTGTGACCAAGTCCAGTACAGAAAAACCAACTCCTTCCCCTTACAGGGGGAGTCGGAATATTCAGATGTCTGGTTCCTCTCGTCAGGCTGATAGCAGTGATCAACTAGTTCTTGAACTTGAGTCCCCGTGCAGGACAGCCAGGCAAAGGTCAAAGGGTCTTTATTTATATTTTCTAGTCTTTTTCCAGTGTTCTACCTATTTTCAGGAGGTGCATGCAGAGTTACTGTACTGCCAATTCACTGTATTCGGTTGCTTATTGGTTTGTTCACTGAAAAAATATAAACACGACACGAACCTAAATGCAGACTCCATGCACAATTTGACATCTTTGAACGTCACCACGAGACAGCTCTGTTCATCAGGAGAAACCAGCAGAATCCGCTCCTCGGAGCTGGCATCAAGCTTGTTTAGGCATGTCAAAACATGCCCCATATTCACCACTGCACGGCCCTGCTCGTCGACCTGATGGAAGACGTAGTCGCGGAAGAGCTTGATGATATATCGATCGCCAGTCTCGCTCCAACGCGGCTCGTGCGCGAACTCGGGGCGCTCGTTGATGAAACCGAATTTGCACAGGAGGCGGACAAGCCGACCGTTCTCTAACTCGGACATGAGCTCCGCCTCCAGACGGTCGACAGCACTACAACGAAATTCCGTTGTGAGCATATATCGGGTCATAACAAAAAGGCGAGTAACGCACCCCTGTGCTTCATCCAGCTCCCGTACGGCCTTGCCCCCGATCATGTCTAAACAGTGCGTTATATTCTTGTGCGGCCCGGGTTTGCTGGTAAGGTATAACAAGAGGTTCTTGACATCTTGGCCGTACTGTCGCGCTATGCCATCGAATACCTTGCTGACATTAGCGAAATTGCCGAGGTTGCTCGTGCCTAAACACAGCGAGTAGATGAGGCGGCCAAACATCTGGAGGTCCTCTTGCTGCAGGAGCGTCATGTCGAGTTGCTGGTCGTAGGTGAGGACGTCCAAAATGCCACATGACGAGATACGGATCCTAACATAAATAGCCAGTGTTCGCACCAGGAGCCCAGGATGTAGCGGTGAAACTACTCGCCTGTTTTTACCCGTCACTAATATCTTGCTCGGATCAATCATGCGCACCGCCAATCCAGCATCATGTACCGCCTTGATTGCACTCGCGATTTGTACGATGTATGTCCACAGCGTTCTTTCCGACAGCTTGTCCTCTTGCTGGTCCTGCGTATCCTTGTTGTTTCTGTCCCTGCCGTTGTGTACGGCGTGACGGCCTCGATTCGCGGACCGACCGGCGGTGTTAAGGACCGAGAGCCCTCCCGGAAACGGCGCACTGCCCTGGTTGTGCGGTTTCAAATGGAGTTCTGCGAGAGTCTGGGCGTTCGGGTGGAAATCATACACGACAACGAGCGCTGGACGTGAGTGTCAATCCTGCCCTCCCACAACCCCGTCGGAGCGGAGGACATACAGTTATCATTGAACGATCTTGTCGTGAAGCCCTCGCGAACGGATACTATGCCCGGGTTGCGGATGCGGCTCCAAGCGTCAACGGGGCCAAGGGCGGCTTGCTGCATCACCCTGTAGTCTGCAAGACGATGACATAGCTTGGGATAAGCATCCGAATCGTCATGCACAGTTGCACGTCGAGGGACGCACTTTCCACCCGCCTAAGCGCGTAGACCGCCCCGTCGCTGGCCTTCGTTCCCCTGTACACACTGCTGAACCAGCTTCCCCATTGGCGTCTCCCGGAAGCATCGCCTGACGGATTTGGAGTACCGGGGTTGTTCGCCGGAGGTATGGGTTCCAAGGGTGCAAGCGAGTGGTAACCCTGTATCTCGTCCGGGAGGTTAAGCGAGTGCAAGGGAGGGGCGTAGAGAGTCTCCGAGCGCTTCTGCAGTTCTTCGCGGGTTGACGAGGAAAGGAAGTAGTTGTGCTCGAAGACATCCGGGATGGGAGCGGTGTAAAGGTGATAGTCCAGCTACACGAATACGACAATCCAACGCGACCGTCAGGAAGGATTATCGCGTGATGAACAGCGGTGCGTACGGGTTGACGAGCATATGATTGGTAAGCTGGATCGTAGTGAGGGTCCATCGGCACTGCCATGGACATCGACATGAGGTCGTGATGTTCGCCGGTGTCGTACGGGTTAATCTATAGAGGGCACAGTAAGCATCAGCCAATCTCTATCGCTGTACATGTATCGAGGGAGGAGGAGCTCGGAGAAAAAGACGGACCGTTAACCCTTGCATGTGCTCCATCATGGACGAGTAGTCTTCAGACAATTGGTCCTGCTCCGACTGTGCGTACGGGTTCGGAGTGTAGTGTGCCGAGAAGGGGTCGTCTAGTGCATGACTATCATCACGAGCTGCCCTGTTATGGTGCAATATGAATAACCTGAAAAGATAGAAAGAGATAGCAGCGTACTCCTCCGCGCCCTGTGTTTGCGCAGGCGTAGCAGGTGATGGGGACGATTGAGTTGCGGCCGAGGTCGCGGACAAAAGAGAACTCGACGCAGCGGCCTTGGGCACGAAAACCGGCGCTTTGACGGCTTCAAGGGACAGGCGAGGTGGAGGAGCGGTGTCCATGGATTGACTGATCCATCGAAGGTTTCAGACTCGCCAAGGTCAAGACAATTGACGCGCACTTACTTGGGGGTATCAACTGTGCCAGCTTCGTCCGCCTGGATACGGTCATCAGAAGGAGACCACGGGACGTTGGTACACATACCGACGACGCTGCTCCGCTCATATCTGGGTGATCGTATCTGCAGCCTTTGTCCTGGAACTTGCATGACCTGATCTCATGCATGAGACACGCCAAATGCATACAAGGATGGTTAAATACGTGCCCGTATATCATGATGTTGCGACACAGTCGCGGCCCGTTCTCTGTTCATGCGAGACATCTCGTGAGCCTTGGCTAGCATGCAGTAGCAAGACAGGTATACCCTTCTTGGGAGTGAATTGCTTCAAGCCATCCTTGTCCTCGCCATCGTTGGAGGGTGGCCTGGTGATTTTCACGGCCGACGAGGACGCTGGCCTTGCGAAGAAGGCGGCCATCAAGAGAGCGACGGCGCCACAACCTCACGGCGCGATCGACCAAAGTACTTATTACTTATTCTAAGATTGCTGCCACTGCACGCCGACGTCATTCACACTCGCTGATGCTTGACAATTGTTCCACATCTCCGACCTGTCTACATAATCAACACACGCTGCCCATATCTATATTTGGACTTCGTGATAATAGACATCAAGTAGCGTTAGCTTTCCACGCTCCGAATACAAACCGATTCATGAGCAACGAGCTCATATACTTATGTTTTGCGGACTCGCGATCGTGGCTGAAAGGTTGCGATGATGCCGTCCGACCTGCGGATTTCTCCTCCGTGTTGATCAAATATGACAGCAATATATTATGAATCCGTGCCTAGGTTCGGACGATTATAAGGCGTACTATCATATCATATTGGATTTGATGGTCCTGTCGCTTCCGCCGCGTTGTGATCCAAGGAGCTTCCGGCCCCCTTCGAGTTCGACCTCCCAGACGACCAGCGCGTACTCTCTCTCCTCTCCTTCGTCGCCATACACTTCGTCAAGGCGGCATCATCTCAACCACGAGAGTGTTATGCCTCTATCAAACTAAAACACACGCCTGCGAATCAGCTTCCCTCCGACAGGATCCATCAATCACTGCGAGCTCGCTATCTCCCGCGTTGCCGTCATGCCCAGTGTTGACGCAGCCGAGTCCTCGACGACTGGCGGCACTGGCAACCCCCAGTCGCGCAAGTCGCGCCCGCCGCAGCTCTCCCTCGGCCTCGGGACCTATCGTCCTTCGGCGCTCTCGAACACCGTCATCGAATACGACTCGCCCGTCGACGTCGACAGTGACCTACAGCTGTCCTCTCCAGGTTCATCCACCTCGGGCGAATTCTTTTCCAACGACGAGAGCGACCAGGCCGGCTCCAGTGGCGACGATGCCGCAGTGGAATCGGACGATCTAACCCGCGGCCTCAAGTCCCTCTCCGCATTGCGCAAGAAGCTCAGTACCAACTTGCGCTTGCGCCCCATCAAATCCTCCACATCCCTGAAGCAGCAGAATTCTCTCTCGCCACGCAGGCCTTCAGCCTCAGCGCTCACACCCACCCCTTCGTCCACAGGCTCGTTCCCCAGCAGTGCGCAACATCCCGGTTTCACCCCCGGTCCCCGTTCCGTGCCAGGCCGCTCACAGTTAGTGCGTTCGCCATCACCCACGAGCACGGTCAGCGAAGTACCGAGCGTTTACTGGACGCCTACATCCGGGACGCCGCTGCAAACGCCGCTCAGCGCCCACTTCATCGGTCCTTCCAGCCGTTTGTCGGTCGACCTCTCCAAGTTAACCTCTGTCGCTACACCCTCGACCTCGACATCTCAAGCACCCCTTTCTGTTCCCTCCACCTCTCATACGTTCGGCGGAAACCCTAAAACCTCAGACACCGCTTACTTCTCCCCTACACCTTCCCCCGGTCCTCTCCCATCGACCTCCGCCTACGGCCGGGAATCACAACCCGTCGAACCATCTTCTCTTGCGACACGTCTTCTGTCTTCACCCACGCGCCCGCTATTGATCGACACACGTCCCCTTCCGGCCTATCTTTCCACCCGCCTGCAGCATTCCATCAACCTTGCCATCCCCACCTTGATCCTGAAACGATGTCGTAACCCCAAGAATGCGTTTCAGTCAATACACGCGTTGCGCCAATACATCACCACGGATGAGGGGAGGGAAGAGTGGGACGAGCTGTTGGGTACTGAGGATCCAGGAGCGGATGAAGATGTGAAGATTGGTGACCGACGAAGGAGCGGGGAGGGTGACGGTGGCGGTTGGATGTGGGATGGCGACGTGATCGTATACGACAACGACATGGACGAGAAAGACAAGGGCAGTCTGCAGTCGACGGCGTGGGCCATGCTACCTGTCCTCGGCCCTCTGTTGCATCACGGCAGCGCCGACTACCTCAAAGGCGGCCTTGCGGGTGTGCTTTCGCAGCCCGACCTGCATAAGCTGCTCCATAACGACTCCGGCATGCCCATGTCTGATGCTCAAACCAGTGGCATCAGCATAGCTCATTTGGGTAGTCCCAGACGGAAACCGGCTCAATTGGCTGTAGGTGGCTCGGGGAGCCCTGGCCCCAGTCCAGGGAAGAAGCCTGGCGGACTGTTCCAGCTCAACACTCAAGTTGCCACACGATTCAAGACGATGCCTGTGTTGGACCTTTCCAACTCGGCTTCGTCTGAACACCCCTCTCCGTCTTCGGCGCTGCCCTCGCCGTCACACGAATCAGCTGCCCCAACTGGTCTCAACCAATCGACTATCGATCTCTCGAAGCCGAGCGAAGGCACCTCCACCATCCCCCTACCCTCCACTTCCGCGCACTCGCCGCTACCCTCTCCCGGTCCATCTCCTCTACCCATGATGTCCTCTAACCTCATGGCCTCTTCCTCCCGCCCTCGTCATCACACTATCACCACCGTCGCCTCCGGATTAGCGGACGCGACCCCCTCCCCGCCACCCTCGCAGCTCTCGTTCTCCCGCCCACCCCCACCACGGCGCCCTAGCGTTCCATCGCTTCGCAAGCTTGACACTACCTCGGCCGAGAGATTAAATATGAACTTGCCCAAATTACAGGTTCGGACTCTCCCCGTGAAGTCGCTCACGCTTTCCGTCCCTCCATCGGCGGTGGAGGAACGCCCATCGATGTCTTTGGGGGGGCTGGGTCTGAGACCGCCGAGGTCGCCTACCCACCTCAACCTGGTGCATTCGAATCATTCACCTCCAGGCTCGGCGTTCCTAAAGGCCCCATCGAGCTTTGGTTCCTTCCCCTACTCATCCGATAGACCACCCCCGTCCCCCGCCTTCCACAGCAGCTTCCACACTGGCCCGCCGCCTAGCCCCGGTCATCGCACTCCGCGTTCCTCAACCTCACCATTGCCACCTTCTCCTTCTACCGCGCGGCCCACGCCCGATACTGAGCAGCCTCCATCCACCTCTTCCGACGCTGGTGAGCGCGAAGACGACTTCACGATATCGACGATACTCCCCAACTTCTTGTTCCTTGGACCTGAGCTCACCACGGAGGAACATGTGCAAGAGCTGTTGGATCTTGGCGTGAAGCGGATCTTGAACATCGCAATGGAGTGTGACGACGATCAAGGGCTGGGTTTGAGACAGAAGTTTGAGCGGTATAGTCGCATTCCCATGCGGGACACTGTCGAAGAGGACAACATCAGGAACGGCGTCCGTGAGGCCTGTCAGTTACTTGGTACGTTGCCTTCCCATTCCGTCACAATCGTAAATTCAGCTCATTTTGGTGGTTTTATGCTGCAGACGACGCGAGATTGCACTCGGCGCCGACGTACGTGCACTGCAAGGCGGGCAAATCGCGCTCCGTGACGGCCGTCATCGCGTACCTCATACATGCCAACCGATGGACATTGTCGCGCGCATATGGGTTTGTGAAGGAGCGGAGGAAGGGCGTCTCGCCGAACATTGGTTTCGTGTCCGAGTTGATGGTATGCGCATCGCTGCCTCTGGTTTGCAACTAGTGATTAAGAGTGTCCCTTCATCCCAGGTTTTTGAGGTGGAGGAAATCGGCGGCAAGTCGAAAGGCGTGGTGCAGCCATCCTCTGCCGGCGTTGCCCATGACCATGACCACGACGTCGGCCCCGGCGACTACACTCACGGAGGTCGGCGTCCAGCTGGCATGCGTGACTCGCTCCCGCCCCCTTACGTGCGCCAGGAAAGTGACGGTGTGCTGATTATACCTGGCGTGAATGATAGTGGGCAGGAGATGGAGATCAAGGATAGCGAGGGGCGGTATAGGCACGTGAGGAGGGCGCCGGTGGACGAGACAACACTGCAACCTATTCGGAGGGTTAGCAAGGCTGGGTTGGAGAGTACATGGTACATGTAGAGTGTGGATTAGGGCTGACCGGACCAAAGACTTAAATAGGTCTTGTTGACGGGATATTTCATCTGGCTGTCGCGTGTTCTTGCATGGATTTCTTCTCGCCTTATTTATTTACCATAGTATCGTCCCTACAAGGCATCCCATTTCACTTGATGCTATCTACATTACATCTACCGATCAGCGACATAGAGGAGGCCTAAAGTGTAGGTCTACCTCAAGCTGCTCGGGTACAGCTCAATCAAATACATTCCAAAACACGGCAATAAGGTATATCTAGTAATACTAATGATACCACACCCTTGATTTACGCCTTCCTGTCCCTTCGTACGTCTCTCAAGCTCGCTAACCATTCAGTTTGGCGTCTTGCTTGAGCTGTTCTTTGCGCCCTCGTACGCGGCTTACGGCGCGGCTTCGAGGACCATCCGGATCATCGTCATAGTCCGATCCCTATAATGTTTCAGCCATCAAGATGCTGCAGGTAGTGAGTGTACCACACACCTCGGCTTTGAGCTCAGCCCTACCCATCTTCTCAAGCTTTCCGTCGAAGTCACGGTGACGATATTGTTGCACGATACGCTCCAACAGTTCCGACGTAGATACACCAGGAGTGCGCCGTGTGGGGAGGAATTTACCTGTATTCACGAATTTAAGCAAGGATGATATGCTAGCCTGGAAACGATGCGCACCTTCTGCTTTGACGAGCCCATAGACATCATCTGTGCCTGCGCCCGCGTACGGATCCTCGTCATGTGCGACGTAATCGATCTCATACTTTTCCAGGAATTCAGAAGTGATGACCCATGGCGCTTCAGGCACAACTTGATCCACCCAACGGCAATGGCGAATGGCTTCGCATCTGAGGGGCAAAGCAAGTGAGAAAAAGACGTGTCAATCCAGCAAACGAATGATTCACCGTTCTGCATGGTTCATGACGCAAGGGTTTTTGTGCTGCCTCACGAGCTCGTCTGAGCAGCAGCCTACGAGCAGGTAGACGCTAGGGAAAGAAAGCTTTGCCTGGCGAAGTTGGAGTGCATGACTGTTCAGAGGCGGAAATGCCCAAACGACGATCACGTCGAACGCCAAGGGGGTGATAAGATAAGATGCCAATGGTTATGCTGATCTGGAACACATGCGTACCCGAAATGAAATAAGTCGTAGACGCCGTCGGCGTATATGCGGACGGGGCGATCCGTAGGTGGCTTGTTGATCTTGTATTTCCGGATAGACTCGCCTTCGATAGCCTTTTTCACGAATGCCTGCCTCGCGGAGGTCAGACCTGGGACACGGAGGCCGAGTTTGCATGAGCGTGGCTTACCTGAATGTCTTCGGTAGTCAGCTTGGCCGGATCGAACGCGTCCTTGGATATGTTGGCCGGTGCAGGCTCTCCGGGCACACAGAACGGGATACTGTGCTCCTTCAGCCGATCGTTCTTCTCTTTCTCCTTGGCATCGTCGTCCCGCGCCTCCCTGCCTTTCCCCTGACGCTCCGGGCTGACGCTCGGCGTGCTCTCGTTCGTCTGCGCCCCGACTGCTGCTGGCCCCGCTCCTGTCCCGGGGGCGCCCAGCCCGACGCCTCCAAGCCGCACCTCCGGTAGCGGGAATGCACTGGTCACCGGGCTCGTGAGCGCACTCGCGCCGCTTGCACTTGTGCTTGTATCTCCGAGGCTCAGCACGCTGATCGTCCGATCGCGCCCGCCGCCGCCAATCGTCGTGCTGCTCTCGATGTCGCCGTCATAAGTAGGGGAATCAACGCCATCGTCGGAGAGCGCTTGTGCGGTGAGCGAGGCCGCGAGCTGGTGCTTTGCGCGGGAGGCCGAGTGTGCCTTTCCTAAGGAGGACGTAGGGGCGGCAAGATGCGGATACGTAGACCGGGGCTGGGGACGGGGTGCGGGGGTGGAGGCGGGCGAAGGAGACGGTATGGAGGTGACGGAGGCGCCGTCGTCGGTAAGCGGATCATTGTCCTCTTCGGAACTGCATACGATTCAGAATGGAGCATCAAGCGATGGGTCTGAGAGACGTGCGCACGCGTCGTAGGCGGGCGAATCAACCGTTCGATATTTGAGGAAGGACCGTTTGGGGTGGCGAGCGTCTGTTGTGGCCATGATCGTTAGCGCCGTCGTTGTCGATGTCGAAAGGTAGTGCGCTATCTGGTATAGCGTTCGTGGAGCGGAGCGGGATGAGGCGCGCCTTGCGTAGGAGGCGTAGCCGTGCCAAGACGAGATATAGGAGCCGTGCAAAAAGATAATCTAATCCCTGAGATCGCATTGGGGGCATAGCGACTCTTGGGGTTTTTGCGCGCCCTCGGGCTTCCGACAAACGTTCATGTGAGCGGATGCAAAGTTATGCTAGATATACATAAGATACACGATGCGATGGACTCTCAAATGCGGATATGCGATGCGATGGCGGGGACACAGAAGAGTAGACGATGATGACGGAACACGTCGGCTCTGCTCTTAACTCCGCGAGCGCGCGGACGACATAGTGCGAGGAGATCAACCGGCCGATCAAGTTCAGGAGCGAATGGGCGGCACTAGGGAGAGTCGAGCGGACACGAAGAGCCGGCAGGCAAGACGGCCGGGTTGCCCTTTATTTGGGATTGCTCGGTGGAGGCGCGTAATCGCGCGAAAGGTCGATCTCTCCTTTCAGATGGGTATTGGTTATCCGCGCCTGGCGCTGCTTTCCCGCCGAGCGTTTGCCCTTCTTCTTCGTCGTTGGCGGCTTCGGCGCGATGCTCTCGGCGGCGGTGGCCTGGAGACCCTCTGTGACGACGCGTATCAGAAAGCGAGGATCCAGGCTGATGAAGAGAGACGATAAAGACCTTGTGCGAGCGCCTTGAGCAGATCGGGTTCTTCGGGCACTTTGAGGTCAGTCCAGAGCTTCAGAAAATCTTGGATACAGTCCTCTGTCATCTGTTATGATTTCCCCATGACGAAAACCCTCACCATCTTCAACTTTCGCCCCACCCGGTTCATGCGGTTTGATCTCGTTCCAGAACACGAAGATGGGCTTGCTTTCTTTCTTCTGTTCCGGCTTCCTCGCCGTGCGCGAAATGTAAACCTCGCCCTCCTTCTCGAGTTCGTCAATTGCGCCCTGAGCGTCCTTCCACGACTCTTTAAGCATCTTGATCGAAACTCCGCCTCCTTTGCGCGACTGTCGCTGGATTTCCGTGAGTAGCTGGGCTTTGTTGGTGATTTGATAGTCGAACTAGGGTATATGCAAGTCATATCATCCTTCCGCTCACGACCGATAGCGAGTCGCTGCGTACCTTGTACTGGTAGGTGTCGGATTTTGGATTGTAGATCACCCTATCGTGCGCCTTGAACTTCTCCAAGAGAAGCGCATTCTCCAGCAGCGGTGTGTTGGTCATGATAGCGATGTCTTGCAGGCGAGTTGGACCACCCATTGACTGAATCCTACATCAGTACACGTTTCTCTACTCATGTGCCGTTTACATATGCGCAGACCTTCAGATGGTCAACGCAATAGACGAGCTGGGTGTTGATATTCGCGCCGGTGCCCGTGTCCGCCGGCTGAGAGTACACCACATCTTTTGGACGAAGACGGGTCAATAACTCTCAGCTTGCGGCACAGAGGAGATACATGCTTGACTTGGGTCGTTTCTTCTTCTGGTTGGCGCCGCTACCAGAGGGCTCACCCGCCGATGGAGACTGCGGCTGCGCATTGGATGGGTTGGAATGCCATGACGAGAAGTCTTGGCGAGCGAGCGCCGACTTGAAGTTGGCCGCGTCTCTGTTGTCGACGGTATCAATGTGAATATTGCATCGAGGTCGTGTAAATGTAGCTCTTGCCTCGCTAAGGATGACATGACGGCTGGAGCCACCCGACGGCTGTGGAGGGAGGAACAAAGAACGCCTTGGCTGTGGCCCGGTGAAACCAGCACAAATGGCTACGCGCGTCAGCTGAAATATTCACTTGACTTCTCCTTCCTCCCTCATCCGTGTTCTCGTCGTCTGCCCCGGTGCCACCCACCGCCAGCCGCAATGTCCAGCACCAAAGCCAGCTACCGTCGCACGCCGGCGAACGCCAAAGAATCAAACGGCGTCACCGACAAGTACCGCGCCCAAGTTCAGTCGCTGCAAGAGCTCTTCCCCTCGTGGTCCAATGACGGTGCGCTGCACCTGTCCTGTCGCGTGCACTGGCTATAACAACTCATGCACCGCTCATTTCTGCTCACAGACCTGCAATCAGCTCTCGCTGAAGCCCAAGGAGACGTGGAGCTCGCAGCCACCCGGATCTCAGAAGGTATTCACCACCCACCGCTCTTTTCTCTGCTCTCTTTCGGTTCTCAACCGAACGCCAGGTCATGCCGAACAGTGGGGCGCGGTCAGCCGCAAGAAGGACAAGAAGGTGGCGCTATCCGGTCCCACCCACGCACCTAAGGAGTCGGTTGGCGGCAGAGGCGATTTCCGTGGCGCGCGCGGTGGACGCGGTGGCAGAGGCGGCGGTCCCGGTCGCGGAGGTGCTGCTCGCGGCGGCGCCCGTGGAGGTGCCCGTGGCGGGCGCCCTCTGACAGAGGCGAACGGTCATGCCGCTGCTGGACCGACGACCACCGAGGCATGGGGTACCACCACCGAGGACGCTAAGGATGTTTCTGCCGCGCCGGCTGAAGCTAGCAAACCTGCAGAGGGCTCCGCTCCGGAGGAGCACACCGCGGAGACGGAATCGCAGTCTGTTGCTCCTGTAGTACCCGCCGCACCCCTCGTCAACGGTGCTGCCTCCCCCGCTGTCAAATCACCTTCCATTGTGGACCACTCCAAGCCCAAAACACCTGCGACGTCGAAAATGTCCTGGGCGCAGATCGCAAGGCTTGTGGCGCTACCTCTTTCAGTTGCTCGTTTTCTGACAGACTGCATCTATAGGCCCCAGGCGAAACCAACCCCCCCTCCTGCCCCCGCCCCTCAACCTGTATCAGTACCACCTCAACCCCCTGCCCCAGCTCCTGAACCTGAACCTGTCTCTGCTCCCAGTGAACCCGAACCAGCTGTCCAGCAGCCTGAAGAACCTACCACCGCTGAACCTCCCGTGTGGGATGAACCTGCAGCTCCTCCCCTCCCTCCTCCAGCGACTGAAGTCCCCCCTTCTGTTGAAGAACCTCAGGCACCCGAGCCTGCTCCCGTCCCCGAACCGTCTCTCGCTTCTGCGCCGAATGCAGACCGCCCTCCCTCTGCACTCCCAGCCCAAATCCTGCAACAGCATCAGAAAACGGCGTCGCCCAGTCCAGAGCAAGTGCGTGCGCCGTCCGTGAAGCCTGCGACGCCTGTCTCGCACGCACGCCAGCAGCGCCAAAATGCGCTGTTCAAGACCGGTGAGGCGGTCATCGTGCCGGGCAAGTACGGTGGTATCAGTGGATTGGACAAAGTAGGCATGCAATTTGGCAGCTTAAGCCTCGGCGATGATTCGGCGGATGATGTTGCAGAGGCTCACCCGTATGTTACGCGTGCTGCCAACGGATTTATTCATAAACTCATCCTTTGTTTTCTTGTCTAGGACTGAGTCCGTCTCGGAGCCAGCACCCGCGGCGGCTGTAGCTGCTTCAGAGCCGCTGAAGCCCGCTTCGCAGCCTCAGTCTACGCCTTCCGCCCCCATACAAATCCAGGAGGCGCCATCTGCCCCGGTCGTCTCACCGCCCGCCCCAACACCGCTCGGTGGTGCTCCCGGTCTCTTCCCCTCTGCCATTCCCCAGCAGGCCCAACAGCAGCAGTCTCAGGGGCTCCCTATGTCTCAGCCCCAACCCCAGCACTCCATACCCTCCTCCCTCACGCAAGCACAGGGTGCTAGTGCCACTAGCAGCTCGCCACTGCAGGGCTTTTCACAGCAGCATGCCCAGCAGCAGCAGCAGCAGCATCTGCTCCCCGCACAGACTCAACAAGTGGCCCAGCCGCAACAGCCCGCCCACCCTCAGATACATTCCTCCCTTCAGTCGGCCTATGCGCAGCAGCATAACTTGTCCGCGCTCGACACTGCCCCACCGGCCCAACCCTCGCTCACGAGTAACGCTTCATCGTACTTCCGTCAGGCGGAACAACCATACTTCCACACGCCAACGCCCCCCGCAGGACAGGCCAGTCCGTATGGAGTGTTTGGCCAACAGATCGGCCAGGGTTTACAGCATCAGACCCAACCCGGACATTTGGGTGGCTTCGGTGGAGACGAATATGCGTACAATGACAGGCCCGGTGTGAGTTTCCAGTCCAAATTCTGTGTTCATCGTCGACCTGACCACTTTACCTTTTCAGAGCTTCTATGATTCCTACCAGCAGGCTAGCTTTGGCAGCCGCAACTCGCTGGGACATGACGATCTTAAAGGTCTCCAAGGTCAAGGCCAGCAATCGGCGGGCCTATCGCCCGCAAACTCGCACCCGTCACAGCATCAACCCCCCTCCTCGCAAGCCGGTAGCCAGGGTCACCAAGGCGGTCAAGCAGCGCAGGGTGGCTACGCAGCTCCAGGCCCAGTGCCGTATTACTACCAGCCGTACCCCGCCAACCAGTACTTTGGGCAACCCTATAACTCGCCCGCTGGTTATGTTCCGCAGCCGTTCGTGAAGTACCAGCCCGTCTTTCAGGGCGGACACCCGGGTCCTGGCTCTGCGCCTTCGCCGGCGGCTAAGCCAACCCAAAATACGGCCCAGAATCCGTACGCGCAGGCACAGGCACAGGCGCTGTACGGTCAGGGCCAATACGACGACCTGAGCTACCAGCATCACGCTGGGCATGGCCACCAGCACCAGCAGAGTGTTGGTGGCGGGTTACCGTCAGGTGATTACGGGAAGCAGCTCTACGGTGGCGCGCAAGGATTTATGGGCGGCCTCGGTCAGAACGTGAATAGCATCGGTACCCCCGGGACCGGTGGACCCGCGTCGCAACTTTCGCAGCGCGGTGGTAGCTCGCCCGAGACCGCTTACAAGCCGTACGGTCAGGGCGTCACTGTTGGAGGTGTTAAGGACGTTGGCGCTGGTGTTGGAGGTGGTCAGCCTGGACAAGCACGTGCGGGGGTGCCGCAACAGCATCAACACCATCAGCAGCAGCAAGGCGGCTTCTACGGGAGCAACAGGTTCGCCTCCAATGCTGCATCGGGCCCGCAAGGCCAGCAGACGCAGCACAGTGCGCCACAGGGTCAAAACCCGCAGGCCCACCTCGGGTACCAGGGCAATTCGGATAACGGGTTCTACTCGTACCAGCACAGGCAGGGCTACTGGCAGTGAAGAGCTAGGATGGGCGGTCCATCGAATGGACATGGACATGAGATCGCTGCTCGCGAATCACGAAATGACCGGGGTGTTACGATATCGCTGCATGAAGGAGGGCTTCTCTGTTGTCTCCCCGTCATCATCTCTCATTTTCTTGCTCATACGATTCTTTTCTTTCTCTATCTCATTTCTCTCTCTCTCTCTCTCTTCCTCCACTCAATATCTGCATCTCAGTGTCAAGCCACAGCATATGTACGCGTACCGCTTTGCGTTCCATAGTGAAGTTGCCATGTCCAATGATCTGCCGCATGCTATCGCTCCGAACGACGTTCACCCCATCCGCATACGAATGTCTGGACGAAAAGCCATGGGGCTGGTAACGAATGCTTCTCCAAATTATACGCAAATCTTTCCCGACATCTACATTGGATTGGCTAGATTTACTTCCTCGGCAGGTCTTGGGTATCAGACGTATTCGACATGAACACCAATGTACCTAATAGTAAAACCCTCGAGCCAACCAGTGAGGCAGAAGCTACGGCGACGGCTGCGGTTCCTGATTATCCAATGTATAAGAGAATGAATACGACACGTCCCCCGCCTCCCATAAGTCAAAAATATCCCGCAACTCGGCATCGGGACGCTCACCACCACAGAAAGCTAGGTCTACGCGCTCGAACGCCTTGCCGTCTGCAAATGGAGGGCGGAATCCAGGGGTTCGCGATAGGAGTGTCCCTCGCAGCGTGTGCACCCATCTGGGATCATCATTCATTTCCACGGTGAGCCGGAGGTGACGGAGGTTTGGAAGAGTCATGTCCCAGAGGTTGGTCAGCTCGGGGTCGATGACGGACTGATAGGGGGACAAGGAGACGATCTCGAGCTCTTCCAAAGGGGCAAGGTGAACGAGGGTGCTGGCCAGATCGCGGCCGAAAAGACGAAGGTTACGAAGGGAAAGCGACCGAAGGTTGCAGGATGACCGGCTCATGAAGGAAGAGAATACCTCGCCGGTGAATAGTTGCCTATTCTCGTATGGGATCGGGGATCCAATAGCAAGATGGGCCAGGCGAGGTGCTGTCAATCCGAGCAGAACGGTCTCGGCAATATGCTCCGTGGTGATCTCCAAAGACGCAAGGTCTGATAGAAGGATGGGTCCATCGGAAGGTACCTCATAGGTGAAGGGTATGTTGAGCAATTCCATGCGCTTAAGGCGGGGCGTGCGGCGCACAGTATCAAGCCAGGATACTTCCTGCGAGTATACGAGATCCAGGACAAGTGATTCTAGCGGGTGCTGCTCTGGACGGAAGCTCGGCCTGTCTGCCGTGTACACCAGCGGAATATTGCGCAGCTCAAGGGAAGCCAGCCCAGGTGTCGCGCGCAATAACTTTGCGATGTCCAACGAATCATTATTCACGGCACGGCGTTGAAAGTTGGTCCACCATAGATTGAGCTTCAGATGGCGCAGTTCGGGTAGCTGATCCTCGAAAGCGGTCAACAGCATCTCGAAATAATTTGAAGATATCGCGAGATCGAGCGTACGCCACCGGTGCTTGATACGGAGAAGCGTCTCGGGCATTTGGGGTGGGAGGTATACAGTTTCGAAGCGAGACATCGCATGTATGGAAATTGAAAGAGGTCGGTGTGTGCATCTTCCTAGGATTAGACTGAAGCTCTGAGCGCGTGTCCTGGAGGTTCCGGGCACGTTGTTGAATCGTAGGTGGATGGCTGACCACAAGATCGGAAGCCCAAAGGCAATCGAACGCCACAGAGCACATGTCTAGGGAGCATGGTGAGCAATGTGGTACACAAACCCGGCCTGGCTCGATGTTCTCGCACCTGGGATATTCGAATGGACGCCTTAAGCGCAGAGGCCAGTGTCTCAGATAATGCCGCGCTGTGGACGAAAGAGAATATACATTCCAACAGCTCCGGTGGCAATCTTCGAATTGGAGCGAGGATCGTCTGGTATGTACGCACTTGACGAGCGAGTGCCGTCCTAGTCGCCTCCAACTGTGCGAGGGAGTGTGCCACGACGACGGGCCGTCTCCCGACAGCTTTGCGTGCTCGTAACTGCGCAAGTTCCGTTTGGAAATGCGAAATCGCGTTGTCGAGCCGAGTAATTTCCTCTTCCTTGTGCATCCCTAGCGAGCTCAGTTCTCCGAACTCTTCGGGGCTCGGAACGAAGTGGTTACGAGTTGAGAGGGGAAACGAGGGCTCTGGCATGATGTGGCGATTGATATTGCGTGTGGGATTTGAGCCAGATGGTGATCAGTACGGAAGAGCAGCACCTGTTCCCGGACACTGGTTGCTGGTAATAACTGCGATCAACCAGCCCAGTCGCCGTGAGAGCAAGATCCCAGCAAAATCCGTAAGATGGGGAGGAGTTGAAGAAACGTCCGACGGTCGCGGACGGCGCGCTTGGGAAACTCGTCACGTTCACGCGTCTGCCACGTGAGGTGGCTATGCTATTTTCCCCGAATTTCCAGAGGATTCGGAAGGGAGTCAGCACCAGCGCGAAACCCCTCGTCCATCCTCTCTACGGCTCTCGCGAATGCTCCCCCTGGAGCTTCTCCTCGTGTCTGATCAAGCCATCACCGCACAGAGACAGATTCGGAGCCCGCTTGCGCGCAATCTCTCCCACATCCGCGCAGGTTCACCGAGACCTGTTCGCGTTCGGTATGCTGCGACTCATGCCTCTGTCCAGAGTTCCTCCCCGGCTTCCGAACCTCTTTCATTCTCTACTGCAGAGATCGCCGAGATATACGCTGCGACGAGACACTCTCGGCCAAGGGGTTCGTTGTCGGGCCGCTGGCGGTCAAGCGAACTGACACGGACGACGGACCCAGTGGCCTTAGCTCATGATGCACCATGGCTTCAAGTTGACCCTGAGGATCCCAGTCTCCCCCAGGAACTTTCAGAAGTACTCGTCTCCCAATCTCATACCGTGTCCCCGAGCCGTTTGCGATGGGATTGGCGTCAACGAGCCTTATCAAAGAAGTTACAAGCGCCTGGAACAACCACCTCACCCTCCTCCTCCTTATCAACTCCCCGGACAATTCGCCACCCCATTCGCATCAAGCCGCCAGCAAGCCGCCTGCACCCCGCGGATTCCTTCTTCTCCGAAACTTCCGCGTATGAGGAAAGATTCCTACCTCTGCTCACCGCCGAAGAAGCGGAAGAGAACGCTGTGGTGAATGAGCGCTTGGCATCGTGGGGACTCGACCGGCTGCGCGACGAGGGTTATTGTCTAACGGGTACGCTTGTCCGTGTGATACGGTTCTTGGGACACAGTCTCATAACTACCATTGTCAGGTTTGAGTGCATACTGGCTGAATGCGACGCAGTTTGGGCGCCCCGTAGCAAGTTTCTCCGCAGGCCCTGGTGTGGAACTCCCGGAACACAAGTTTGAGTATGTTATTTGCCTTGCATGCTTTGAACCTCACGTTGATTCCGGCACGTACATCTGCAGTAATGGCACTACCGTATTGCTCTCTCGTTTGGATCCGCTCCAGGAGAAGCCCAGCAGAGGAAGCGTGGTTAGCCGGACGCCGACGCAGCTCCACGTTGCGTTTGAGGAGCGCTTGGATATTGAAGAAGGCGTTTGGAGGTAAATACCTGCCTTTGGAGGCTGCGCACTCCGCGTCACGGATTACTTCGGACTCGAATCCAGCGCTCACTCGGTCACTTTCTCTACGTCAGGTTGGACATAGGCCGCTCGAATATCATCTTCGACCGCATGCGTGATGCGATCTCAAACTTGCAGCTGGACCCTTCACAGCAGTTGGAGCGTCCCAATCTCAGCCCCTTCATATCGACTCCGCCGCCTTCCTTCTTCGAAGGCACGTCGCGTCGGCGGGAGACGATCCTTCAGGGCACATACCTGCGCGATATCCTCTTACGCTCATTTTCGCCCGCTCCGGGAGTGCATCATGACCCACAGCCACTACAGGACCCGGACGATGTGGCGTATCCACCGCACGGGCACTTACGCGTCGATGACGTTCCCATCGCAGCAGAGCTTGGGACAGAAGTCGTGGATGAGAACGCACTGAATCATCCATCGCATACTGCGGTCTCGCACGCGCAGTCGGCAATGCAATTGAGGGGCGCGTTCGTCGAAGACCAGTTGATTCAGTCTTGGGCGAGAAGGTATATGCGACCCAATCCGGTGCGCATAGAGGGGGACCCGGTTCTGCCGCTGAACGAGAGTCAGACGCGCGCGGTGGCTATGATGGTCGGCGAACGCGTCAGTTTGGTGCAAGGGGTACGTCGCCTGTTTGGCTACCCACCTCAGGACTCTCATATCGACTTCGTGATAGCCTCCGGGAACAGGGAAGACGAAGACTATCATCGAGGCTGTCAAGCTCCTCAAACGTCATTTTGCCGTACCGCACCCTATTTTGGTTTGCACCTTCACGAACGTCGCCGTGGACAACCTCGTCGAGGGTTTAGCCCCCTCGCTATCGCCGTTACGAGTGGGATATGGTGGCAAGGTCAAGCCCTCCTTATACCCGCATACACTGGACGCGAAGCTGGAGCAACACGAACTGTACTCAGAAGTCCTGAAGCTCGAGCGACAAGAGGAGGCGCTGGAAAAGCGCGTCGTCAGTCTACGCATGTCGTCAACCAAGGCGGCAGAGAAGCTGAGCATCATGCCCTTGGATGCGGAGCACGATCGGAAGAGGGCGAATGCCACGAAGAGGCGGGACAGGCTGGACCAAGAGGTGACCCAGTGTGGGACTTCGCTGGGGAATATCAGGAAGAGGATATATGCGTTTAAGCAGCAGATGTTGTCGGATGTCGTACATGCTGCCGACGTGGTAAGTTTCAGTTTGGCCTTTTACCCACACGCGTGGACTTATCGCGCTTTTCATTCGAAGGTGTGCACGACGTGCATTACATCTGCGTGCACGGCACTGAACGTCATCGACTTTCCCGTCGTCTTCCTCGACGAAGCCTCCATGTCGACAGAACCAGCGTCACTCATCCCGTTGATGAAAGGGGTACGTGATATCTCAGGTTCCTCCTGTCTCATCTAATGGGGTACGCAGTCGCAGCATATGACGCTTATCGGTGACCACAAACAACTGCCGCCGGTGATCACGAGTCGCGAAGCGATCGCCGGCGGGCTGGGCATCAGTCTCTTCGAGCGACTCACGGAAGAAGGGGGTGAGTCTTCAGCGGGCTCGTTCTCGGCCATACAGCGCCTCTGACGATATGTGATACATATAGTGGTTCCATCGATCATGCTCGACCTTCAGTACCGTATGCACCCACAAATCTCCAAGTTTCCCTCTGCCGAGTTTTATAACTTTGCGCTCCGAGACGGCATGCTGGATTCGAGCGGAGGCGTTCCCGCGCAGCTTCGCCCACCTACTTCCGCCCATCTTCAGATGAACCCGCAGACCGGCGACCGTCCGAGCGTTATCTTCTTAGATCATCAGGGCCTTGAGTCGCCGAAGGATCGGAGCAAGGTCAACTACACGGACGCCGACATCGTGTGCAGCGTCATCGAGGATTTGCTGATTCAGAACCCGGTGCGTGCCCCCGTGCCTCACCGGAATTATCACGGCGGTGACCTGACTCGCTCAATAACGGTAGGATCTGCGGGGAGAGGATATTGGCGTTATCGCGCCTTACGTGGCGCAGATCCGGCTGTTAACGCGGCTGCTGACGACGGACGCCAAGTCACAGGCACGCTTCCAGGCCGCGCTCGGAGACCAGCGGGCGATGCAGCTCCCACAGATCGACATCAAGACGGTCGACGGCTTCGAAGGGCGGGAGAAAGACGTCATCATCTTCTCGACCGTGCGCTCCAATTCCTCTGGGCACGTCGGCTTCCTCGCGGACCGGAGGAGGCTCAACGTCGGCCTGACGCGCGCGAAACGGGGCCTGTTCGTGGTGGGAAACCTGAACACGCTCAAGACAGGCCGAGTTGGCGGCGTTGATGGCATGAATGATCCCAAGACTCGGAGGAGCAAGGGCGCCGAAGCGTGGCAGAGGTATGCCGAGTATCTCCAGGAGGGCGGGCTGGTGGTGCGGCTGACCGGCGAGAGATTGAGGCGAACGCTGTACGGCAGCCTGGGCGGCGTGACTGTCGCAGATCCACGGAAATTGACAAACTAGGTTTGCCCGTCGAGCGGAGCGCTGAGGGGCGTGTCGTTGCGGATCGTATTTATTCGTCATATATTAGCTTGCTGACTTTGCCGTCGTTCCATTCTTTTTTTTTCTGCATGCTGTATCGTAGAGGCTCTACCCGAGCGTAATTGCAAACAAGCTTGGTTTAAGGTTGTGAAACGTCGGGCGGCGATGTAAGCGAGCCCTGGCGTTGGCAGGCGTCGGGTCGCATCGTCGATGACAGGCATGCGTTTCGTTGTCAGGAAGAGGGGCGCTCGCCGGTTCGAGCTTGTGTTCCCGATCCGACGCCGAGGGAAAGCCCAGGCCCGAGCCTGCTCGAGCCACTTGGCAATTGGCAAACCTGTTTGGCTTGCCTGGGCCACTCCTCCCAGAATAGCCAAATGCACTTGAAATGCACGATAACGATTGGACGATGCGACCCAGGGTGCATGCTTTGCGCTGGCGGAACTCTCTAAAAGTAGGGTCTCTCGTAAGGGGCGCACAAGCACACATACTGACGCATGGGAGATCGCGGCGCGCTCGAATAGCGCCCGGGCGGCGAACGAGGCGGCGATATTTATCAATTCGGATATATCGCCTCATGGGTCGTCGGACGCTGCGGAGCAACTCGCGAAGACAATAGGAAAGGCAACAGACGCTTGCCCGGGTCCGTACATGGTCGCGAGGACTTCCGACAGAAATCGAGAGAAAGGCGACCAACGCCACCAATCAGGAAGAGATGGGCGAGCGTTTGGGAAGCTGCCGAAGGTGGAGGCGAGATCTCCCACCGCGATCCGTCACGTTTCTTAGTTCACCTCCGCCCACGGGGTGCGGCGTTCGGGTCTCTGCCCATCGTCGCGCGCGATCCTCTAATTGATATGTCACGCAAATTTGCGCGCTCAGCGGAGGATGCCCGCAACAAATACCTCGGGCGGGCGCGTCACCGGTGCGCTCATCCACCCTCTCGAGGTCAGCGCGTTTTCTCGCTCGCCTTTGCAACTCTCTTCGCGCGCCGGCCGGTTGGCGTCCTCGTCTCGGGTTCTTGACCATCTTTGGACAAACGTCTCGCCTCGTTGCAGCTGGATCTTGGTTGTTCCCTGCCCGGTTTGTTGGCGTTACAACTCCAGCGGCGGAGATCGTCGTTTTCCACTCTATCTCTACGCGCTTCCGACCGAAGCCTGCTTCAGGACCACAAATATCGGTCGACCTTGTCTTGTCAGCCCTGAGACGTCCCCTGCCCCGCTCTCCCTCCTGTGCTTGCTTGCAGGGACCAGTACCGAAGACATGCTCGCTTTCTCAACGCGTTCCTGTCCCACCCTCGCCCCCTCGGGCTCGCTTCACGTGTCGTTCCATTCAGAGGAGTCCCCAACGCGCTTGCACGCGCCTCTGCCCACCAGGTTGATGCTCAAGGGCAACGGCATCGTCTCCCCGGAGCAATCGCCCGTGTCCAGCATCAGCGGGTGTTCCGATGACTGCATGTCGTATCCTATGACATCCTCGCGCCGCACAGCCGGCCGCAATTCGTATGCTGAATTCCGGGCAACCCACAGTCGCGTCGTGCGTGTAAGTGACCCTGCCATCGGCGCTCCGGCCGTTCCTTGTCGAATGCTGATGCGCTCGTGCCCCAGTTCTTTAATTTACCACCTCTTGACCCCAATACGGTCTTCAAGTCCACATTCTCCTGCGCGCTTAACCACGAGGTTAGCCGTGCGATAGTATCGATGATTAAAGATCTTTGATGCTCATTTCTCTCTCAAGCGGCCGATTCCCGCACCTGTCTCGCTGTGGGTGCGCGACGGCGACGATGGTGTCTACGCTGTCTTTGCCGACCATGAGCAGGTTTGTGTTTTCTGCTCCAGCTCGAGATACTGCCCCTCTGCAATTGTGTCATCCGCGTTCGACTATGTGCCGGACCCGACAGGACGGCGGCGTGTTGCTGCTAAAAATGGGGCTCGGCCGGCTTCGTTTGCCCACGGATTTGATGGCACGTCCGCGTTCAGGGTCATCCCTTGGGGCTGTGCGGGATCCGTCAGTCGCCATGCCGGTGCGCTGCGAACGCCGGCCGATCGGGCCGGCAGGGATCGTGTTTCGCATTTTCCCTTTGAGCCGATCGACGAGCGATCGAGGGGTGCTCGTCATTCACGTCGGGCCACGAGGGTTCTGCAGCCAGGAACCGCACCCTTGGCGACGCCATCCCGCAGTCATGAATTAGGCTCGGTCATCAGCTAATGGACCTCCTTTTTTTATGTTACATATCGTTTTTGATATGGCTGCATTGATGTGACATGGACGCGGAAGTGCTAACGTCGTTGTAATTAGGCCGACGCCGCCCTCTCTCTCTCCGGTTCTTCCTTCTCTGTGGCCACCGCACTCGAACAGGAGCTCGAGCCTCTGTCAAATTTGAGGCGGCTTGATCTGCAATCGGCACGTCCACGCGATTACTTAAATTTGCTCTTCCTCTCTAACGCTGTGTGGCTCGAATAACAGGCTTCCGACATGCTTACGACGACCACCTCTGACACGCCCTTACGCCCCGACATGTACGCCCCACGAACCGCAAGCACGTCCATCGCCGGCCTCACGTCCGCATTGGACTCGATGCGACTGAACCCTGAAGTCGGTGCTATGTCGTCTTCGACTCACCCATCGGCTTCTTCAACCCCCTTCGCGGAATACACACTGTCAAGTAATCCTCCGAACCCGAAGTCCAGCTTTCGACTCGGCGACTGGATGTACGTATTTTTGGCGTTCTTGACGTAACTTCCCGTTCTAACGCCGGGTTCTGTCCACAGATGCGCTTCACCGACCTGCGCGGCACACAACTTTGGGTCAGTCAATCATTCCCCGCTTGTCTCACTTGATCCCCGGCTGTTTCGCCGCCACCCAATGTCTTAGTCGGTCCCCGCTAACATCGCCGGTTTTCAGTCGCAACATCTCTTGCATCGGCTGTGGCCATCCTCGCCCGAACTTAACCAACTCGACCGCGGCGCTCAACAGCGCCTCCCTCGGTGGCCCCGCCATGCGCCCCAACCCGTCGCCTCGATTTGTGGCACAACCTCAAATACATCCTCCTACGCCACTGCAGTTGGCGAACGCGATGCATGCGCAACAACCGCCCTACGGCGCGGCCGTCGGCAGGGTTCCGATGCCGCCGGCGCCCCGCTCGCCGCTCATCGCGAACAAACCGCCTGCGCCCTCCTACCCGCTGCTCACGCCCTCGGGACGCGCGCTGGCGATTGGCGGCAAGGTTCAAAACGTCTCGTCGAATCCGCTCTCGCCGTGCGTCATGTATTGGCCGGACAACGAGCCGTTCCCCGAGCAAGGACAGATCAGGCCGCCGGCCTCCGCTGGAATCCAGGTATGCTTGTTTTCTAGCGCTCTTTGAATAACGTCGTTGATTGACGGTAGCAGCATCCCCCTATCATGAACACCGGCAACCGCGGGCCCATCGAGCACCAACCGGGCGACTGGATCTGCCAGAAGTGCAACTACCTCAACTGGCGGCGTAGAAAAGTGTGCCAAACATGTTTCCCATGTGAGTCGCACCAGGTTGATTCTGCGCCGGCATTCGAGTTGAACCACGCGCGTTTAGATGCTGAAGGGAACGGAGACTCGATCTCAGCTGCCGTTCAGGCCGAGCGCATACAACTCCTCGCGAACGTACTCAACCAAGAGACCAACCTCGGTTCCGTACCGCTTCGCAGCCCGGCTATGACTCCCAATCCTCTTGCACAGTTGCCGCTCCGCTCGCACTCGGTCACGCCGCCCGTCGCTCATCACCGTCTGCACACCGGCGCATACCCCGCCCCGCATCGCTCGCGGTCTCACTACGACCTCGGTGCGCAGTACGCCGCCGCGAACCCCATCTACCAGACCTCCGGCGCCCGCCATTCCGTGCCGTCGTCCCCACTGTCCACTGTCTTCACGCGCCCGTCGACGCCTGCTGTGCTCGAGCCGCCCGTGGGTACGCTCCTGCCTTCGTTCCTGCAAGACATCGTCCACTCTCCCTCGTTGTCACCGAGCTCGACCACCTCTGCGGAGCTTTCCGTTGAGGATTATGAGGACGAACTCGCCAACGCCATCTATACCACTCAGGCCCAGGTGCAGCATCGCGTCTATGCGGGAGATCGGTCGCGCAACATGAGCAGGTCTTCTTCATCGAGCCTGCGCGCCCATCCGTTGGGTAATATATGGACTTTCGATGGCGAAGAGAGCAAGGTCCTCACGCGCACGTCGCCGACGAACGACCACGCCGCCCCCAATAATCGCCATTGTATCGCTTAATTCAGTATGTCTCAAATGTCATTCGCTCATGGATCGTGCATCTTACATCCCCATTTTAGACTATGCCGGGCTCTCGCTTCGTCTACTGCTCACAAATCGGACCAAGGATCAAGGACGCTTCACTTCACCTTCCTCTAGGAGTCAACAAAATATCTATTATCCTATTATGGGCCCCGCGCCCCCACCCCCCGGATCTCATTGCAACGGTACAGTCACTCGACACCATTCAAGCCTTTCCACCTTTATGCTCCCTCGCCTCCCTCACCCTTGCTACTTGGACGGTCTGCTGGACAATTGCATTTGGAGCCCACGTTTCTTGCGGTATCTTATCGTACCATTACTAGTACTATGTCCTACCCAGCGCATGTAGCCCCCCCATATATAAGTTATCCTATAAATTGGCGTCGTTACGAATGAAAATGGAGACGAGTATGGTTTCATGAGCATCCGGGGCGTCGAGCAGCGCGCGTCGAGGAGACCGCGTATTCTCACGTCTACTTCGGTGGGGTTTCGTCATTCTTCCTTTGACGCAGACTTCGATATTCCGACAAATATGACCGCAGGTCTAGTCAGTCTTTCACTCTCTCCGTCGCCTGGTTTCTGTATCAAGACATATGCAACCCAAGCTGGATCGTATGTGCCCCCGGTGGACAGCGCGTCGGCTACCGCAAGCTCCAGTGCCAATCGCTTGGACGGACCTTCGCATGTGCGCGCGATTCCGGTCCCTAAAGGGCTGAAGGTATTCATCAACATCGGTGAGTATACCCAAGTGTTGCATGTATGCAAGGTTCTTGCTCATAGACCTATGCGCCGTAGCATATGATCATGCAGTACCGTCTCCACCTCCAGGGTCGGAGGAGATAATCCAGAAAGCCATGCAAGGTCGGCGGTCCGAGAGATTGGGAACGCCACGCTCGAGCTCATGCTGGTAACTCTTGTCAGGTCAGGATCCGGACGATCCGAATAATGAAGGTGGATGGTTCGTGCCTGTCGTCGTCTCTCATGGTCGCGAGGCACAAGACAAAGGTTCGGACCCTATATGTTTTTACTGCCGCCCGAGATGGGAACGGGAGATTGACTGAGGGCCTGATGCTCACGCAGCTGGGAACAAGTCTCTCGTGTTCGATGCGGTGGTGAATAGCAAGCTCAAATCTCGGGCGGCTGCGGACACCGAGTTCCGGTTCTTCCTTGTTGGTACGTGCGTTTCATCCTCCGACGCGTACAGGGTAGCTGAGGGGCATTTTCATTTCCTGCAGAGCTCGCTTTACAACACATCGAATCCCAGTCCGGTATACCTCTCTCCAGGGACATCAAGACCCCCAATATCGCCTCCAAAGGCAAACTCGAGCCACGAACGGTTCTCGTTCCACAAGCATTACTCGAGCTAAATCCAAGTCCTGCGTACCAAACGGGTAGGGACCGTCTCGTTCTCGGACGTGTGCGTATGTTGATTGCGCTCCCTGTTGCATTCTTAGGCAACTCCCGCCACGGGACCGCGGAAATAATACCCCAGCCCGAGACGCACCAAGGAAAGAAAAAGCTCATTGAAGAGATTGACCCTTCACCGGTGCAGGATGTGTCCTCACCGAAGCTCAAGCCCAAAGGGATCCTGAAACGATCTTCAACGAACGATGGAGGGCCGATGTCCGGTCCGATAGTCGCGGCCGACGAGGCGTCTCCGAGGCTGTTGCAAACCCGAAGTCCTGAGTGGAGCTGGTCCCAGCAGGGTGATCAGATCCGAGTGGACATACGAGTGCCGGGAATGGTGAGTGCATTCATATAGTTCCCTCGGCACCTGTTGTAACTGAACTTCGCATCAGACGCGCGATCTCGTCTCGAAGTCCGCGCTGGATCTCGAGCCGCGGCGTTTGCTACTGGAAGTGCCTGGAATGTACTCGCTTGATGTGGACATCGCCGCAGCAAATGGGGGGAAAGCTGGCGTCAACAAGTTGCTCGACCTCAGCAATGCCCGAGAATTTGACGTCGACAGTGCACGAGCTGAATGGCGAGTAGCTGAGGGGATCCTTTCCTTGTATGCTTGATGTTTGTCCTTGTACGCGCTTGCAATCCGCCTAACCTCGGCCAACCTTTGATCACTGTGATGATATCCGTTTGTCTAGACGATGACCGTAAATAAAGCCGGCCATGCCAGTGGTCGGTGCTTTACGCGAAGCACAGCCACGTCAGCGATACGTGGATGACGTCTTATTTTCTGTGAGATAAGCACGTGCGATGACTCGAATCTGCAGTAAAGAACTGCAGATCTCCATCTCTTCTTCCAGCCGGCCCAGCGAGCAAACCGGACGTCGCCCTCAACGGCCATCAACTGATTCCGACGACCCGCAACAGAGGCGGTTGTACCCGATCGTCGCGGCCAGACCCAAAAGGACATAAAATGGCGTCAACCATCGCCCCGGGGAATGAGACGCCCTACCCCGAGCTAGAGCATATTGACCTGGAGAAGATGGAGCAGTACCTTCAGGATCGCAGGGTCTCTGGTGTACGAATTTTTCTTCTCTCTATTGTCCCGCGCAGCCTGAATGTCGCGTCTTCACAGTACGATCCCTTGATTCAACCGTCCCTCCTCCGCCATGAGCTGCCTACGAAATCCGACGCGCAGAAAACAATAGTTCTCGCGCGCTATGCAGCGGCACAGATCATCGCCGGCAAGGATGATCGGTCCGTATTTACCTGCGCGATACGTGCCCGTATATCTCTGACATCCGGTCACCTTGCCAGGATTCTAGTGATCGTGGGCCCTTGTTCGATCCACTCGACAGAGCAGGCCATCGAATACGCGAACCTTCTCAAAGCCAAAATCCCCGACTGGCCAAACCTACTCATCGTCATGAGGGCCTATTTGTGCGTGTATATTGACTTCGCACTCGCCGTGCTATACTGACACCATTCCAGTGAAGTACGTCAACGAGCGAAAGCGTGAAACAACGTGTAACTCATACTGGAACGAACAGAAACCGCGTACGACGGTTGGATGGAAGGGTCTCATCAACGATCCCGACATTGACGGCTCCTTCCAGATTAACAAAGGTAAGCACCAGATCATCGACACCATACCCTTGCACCGGGCCCAAAGCCTAGACATCCCAGATTTGGACATTGTTGTTTCCTTGACGTGGATCAACGGACTGATTCGGTTCTCCCCATAGGACTTCGGAGGGCGAGAAGTCTTCTGATCTCGCTCACACAGATGGGCGTACCTGTCGGCTGCGAACTGTTGGATACCATTAGCCCACAATTCATCAGCGACCTTGTGAGCTGGGGTGCGATAGGTACGTTAAATAGATACTCCCACTGCAGCGTCATGGGATCGTACTTATCATTTGCATCGGAATGACCAGGTGCACGTACCACCGAAAGCCAGTTGCATCGCGAGTTGGCGTCTGGCGTCTCCTTCCCGATTGGGTTCAAAAACGGCACTGACGGTAGCGTCACAAGTGCGTATGATACAACCTATCTCTCTTATTATCATCCGCTTCGAGGCTAATTCATGCTTTGCAACAGTTGCCGTCGACGCGATGCGTGCATCGTCTCATCCCCACGCTTTCATGGGCGTCACTGAACAGGGCCTGGCCGCCATCGTCAAGACGAAAGGTGCGATGTCGTCGGTCGTACTCTGGTTCTGTTAGCCACTCACCTGCGGGTCGAAATGTAGGCAACAAGGACGTGCATGTGATCCTGCGAGGCGCGAACAAGGGTCCGAATTATCATGAGGAGGATGTGCGCGCTGCCGTGGCTGCCATCGAGAAGGCGCGGCCAGGGCATCATCCTGGCATCATGATTGACTGCAGTCGTACGTGGACTGATTCTCTAAACAAGCGGGCGGGTGTTGACGTACAACCTTGCGTCGGGACAGATGGCAACTCGCAGAAAAACCACCTCAATCAGCCGCGCGTGCTCGATTCAATCTGCGACCAGTTACGTTCGGGTTCGCCGTATTCGAAGAGTATCGTCGGCGTGATGATCGAGAGCCATATCAACGGTGGAAGGCAAGACGTGCCGGCCGAAGGCGCGTGTGTTGTATTACGACGCTAATATCAGACCTGACTCTGTGTGTCTAATGACAGGTCCCTCCGGTCTCAAGCACGGTGTATCTATCACCGATGCTTGCGTTGACTGGCCTATGACGGTGGTCATGCTTGACAAACTTAACCAGGTTCGTACAATATTTGTTCTCCCCTGGCGAAACCACAAACCAAGGTTGCAGGCTGTCGGCGCGAGGCGCGCTGCGCTGGTGAGCGCGGGTTTGAAAGTAAATGGCGTTAACGGTGCATGAAGGCCGCCATCGCGATGGCGTTGATCATAAAAGGGCAAAGCTCAGTACCGCAATGCCCCCTGTCACGTTCCTGTCGATGTATACACACGTTATCTACCTCTGGATAATACCGTTTACTACCATGCCAAAGAAAGCTCTGCAGGCGTTACATGACCTACAGCATTCCCCCCGTCTATAGCCGAGCCTCCTCCCTCCTCGGCGTTAGTTCTGTTTTCGTGGGCCGCTTGAACGTCATCGAAGAATAAGGGAGTCACCGCTCGCGGACGATTGTATCGCAGTCCAATTCTAGGCCAGGCCCTTGAGTGGTAGGTGGAAAAGGCTAATTCCTCGGCAAGCTCCTGTCGTCCTTGGAACAGATCTTCCAAGCCCCTGTTTAAGCTCATCCTTCGGCGATCTCGGTAGCCGGTTTCCCGCTCCTCCATATTCGCCGGAAAGCTTCGCCGGCGGATATCGATCTCTGGGTAATCATATGTTGGGCTTCCCCGCCTTCCATTGCTTGTAGGATAGCGAGCCAATGGAACGAGTGGAATGAAAGGCGTAAAGTACCAGGCTGAATTCTGTCACCAAGGAAAGGGGCTCAGGGAGAGAACCTCCTCGGGGTGCACACCATCTCTTAGAGATGAGAATACTTTTGGGGGACGAATCGTTTCCTATCAGGTTCAACTCCATTACAAGTGGAAGAAAGAGATCGATGGCGTTGAGTGTCACCTGTATATTCTTGCATTGGATGGTACCCTAGTGCACTCGATCTGGCACAGCCGCTGCCAGCGGGAAATGGCGGGCGTTGGTATCTTCATCGCTTGCTGGAGGAGGTAGGGCCCCATGTGCAAAGCACCTGTTCTTTGTCGCGTCGAAGTCGCGTGGAATACTCACTGGGTGCTTGTTTACGTAGATGCGAGCTTCCTGGTGCACTTGCGGTTACTGGTGCGCATACTCCTCCGTGCATAGGAGCCTGATCGTCAATGGTAACTGGTATGGCTGCAGTGCCTTGTACTTATGACGAACGAAGGTAGGAAGTGACACAACGCCGTGACCGGCTTCAGCGTGACGTCAGTATGCTTGACGCGTAGCACGTGACGAGCATGTAACCTTCACGCTCGATCGCTCGGCCTGAGCTGGTGGTTGTTACAAGCGATTTCATAACACCGATCCCTCAGGTTGTTGCTGTCCTCAATCTCTATCCGGATAACCGAACACTGGCACAAGTGGAACGAATAGATAGAGTGTGAAGTGGTGGGACGTCATCTAGGCTTGGACCTCTTCGTGCGTGCCCGTATTCCTATCTTGTAGTTAGCCACGCCTCACGGTTGAGGAAGGCTATTCTATTGCACATCGTGCGATTGATGGACTATCCAATTCCAGTATCCATCATTGGTCCCGCCGAGTCCGCCATTGAACGGCTTCGACGTTTCTCGGCTGGAAAGTCAACAACACCTCAAGCAGGCCATGACTCCGCGCTTCTCGCCTCTATACGATCCGCACTAGCTGGTTCTGATCGTTTACCCAGCACCCTTGATGATTCATCAGCCCATTCCGTCGTCACCACGTACACCGATGAGCTGCCCGGCGAAGAGGAGCTCAGCTGGGATGACTATACTTTAGTGCACTCGGTGGGCGGCATTATCAAGAGGCAATGGAACTTCAAAGACGAGAACGAGAGAATACATTGGGCATGTCTCGGTTATCTTCATCAGAACTTCGAGTCGGGCGGATCTCCCGGACAAAAGAGTCAACATGCTCCGTCCGCATGGGCTAGCGCTGAAGCTTTCGGACGCCCTATCTTCGGGCCTTTTCATCGACAAGATCCAGATCACGACCAGAGGAAGGCAGCAGCAAACACGGTTGCTCGTTCGCGTGCTGTCTTCGTTTTTATGCGGAACAATGCCCACATCTACTTACTCAATGGCTTAACATACAGTCTCAGCCTCCCTTTCATCGTGCGCCGCGCTTGGGCAGCTTTTCCTTATGGTGTCATCATTCAACGCCACCTTCCTCAGACTGAGATTGACGATGCTGACCGTTCTGGCGAAGAACCTCTTCCTACTATCTTTTCATTGACAAATCCCTTCGCCGAGTTATCAGCAGTGGGCTTAACCGAAGGAATAAAAGGAGACGGCTTTTCCGGAGCCTCCCTCATAGACGAAGACAAACAATGCTCGAGTCCTCTCAGGTCAATCTCTCCCCACGATGTCGTGCTTGCGGTGTTCCATATGTTCGGTCTCGACGCGGCCGACGAGATCATGATAACCATAGACGTAGAAAAGAAGATCTTGACCATATGGCGTTACGCTTATGTCAAGCCGAAGGACACGCCTACACCGCTCCGTCCCAAGAGATCGAAGAAGAGCGGATCGAAGCCCGAATACCCAGACGAGGGACAGCCTGTTGAGGATGACGATACAGTACGATCAAGGTCTGGCATGCCGCAGAGAGCACATATGCCGTCACTGCCTCCCCTTCGCTCGGAAATGGCACCTTCATTGTCCACAGGGATTACCATGGAGGCGCTCATGGCAATGGCAGAAAACGATAAGCAAAAGGATTCGGAACCGATCGTTGTTCAGGACACCGCGTTCAGTCATACTCGTCAACATTCTTCAACTCGGAACGAACTGAGTTTTACCATGGATCGCATGGACCTTCGGGCAAAGAGTGATCTGCCCTCTTCTGACAGTCTACATTTTCCCTCGCATGCGCGGCAGCAGGCATCCTTCTGGGTGCAGAAGTTGTATGAAACAGATGTCACAGAACACGAGTGAGTGAAAATCGAGCTTCGATTTCACTAATCTAATTGAGCGGTGCATCTTAGTGCGCGTTCGTGGTATCGCATTCAAGTCACAATCTTTGACTCGCGCTGGGATGGGTCCTTTGAGAGTTCCTTGATCGCTATATGTCTACCAGCAACTGAGGATCTCCGCACTTTCTCTCTCGTTCGCCAAGAAGACAAATCATTCCTTGTATCACCCTTTAGGAACTTCAAAGCACGAGCAGCCGTCTCTGTAAAGGCAACTCGACCGAGTTGTCGGGATTTATTGATTCTGAAGCCGTCAGGTGCTACGGCACTCATCACGCACGGTCACCAGGAGCTGCCAGTAGTATTTCGCGACGGCGATCTCCCGAGCAACGAGCGAACATCGATGATGATCGACGACGCTGGTGTGAAACATGGGCCCATCTCTGCGTTCGAGAACCCTGCACTGACTACAGTAACATTGGCCCTTGAGAGCGGGAAACGCATGCGCGCGTGTCTGGATCTGCTGCCTACGAGCCGACTGGTCAACATGGTCTTGCTTTCGATGTCGACCGCCTTGCCCCACGACGACTTCTATGCCCTGCACTCTCATTTTTTGCGGCTGTGGTCGTCGCAAAGCTTTAGCCCTGCATCGGACGCGCAATGGGATTGCATGCGCAAGTCCTTGTACAACGTTCTGGGCTTTGATTCGTCGCCATCTCTTGTTGATCCAAACAATAACCCTTGGCTGCGTTTACATTCGTCAGGCTCGCACCGCCGTCACATCGGAGATCCCGTCCTTAGGAAGCTACGATTGCCACCGGCGCTCGAGGAGCAATGCGAACGTCCGACTGATGTCGTGAATCTCGCACTAGTTCGTCCCGCCCTTCTTGCACTGCATCTTTTGGGCGAAACTTTGCGTTTATTCATCTCTTGGCATCATCAACTGCTGCGATTGGTCCCTTTGATTTGCCGTCTTGCGCAGTTGGTTCGCCCGGAGTGGGCTGATTATTGGAAGCGCCTCCTTCCTTCGGCTGTCTCAGAGTGGCCTGATCCTTACGCGCCAGGTAAGCACGCGCAATGCACTTTCCTGCCGTCTGATGACTCAAAGCGACACGAACTTAAAGCATCGCATGCCAGTAACTCCACGCCGGCGACTGCTCTACCAGTCTGGCCGACGGATGAAACGACATCGTTGTTGAATCGGTTGAACGGTGTTCGCACGGGTGCAGATCTGTCTGATAGGGTCAACTTAGTTTCCACATTACTCGGGGACAGTCCCTCAGGAGCATTGGGGCGGGTTGATGTTTTTAGACCCTTGCGACATTTGGCAGCGGTCTTTGCAGCGCTCGCAGACCGCAGTGTTCCTGATGTTGGAAAACGCACCCAACATGCCATGCAAGTCCTCATGCGCCATGGCACAGGAGCAGAGACGCTGGACGGCTTGCCTTTAGGGCTAGTGGCACCGCTTCGGGAAGCTGCGCGGACGTGTCAATTTTCACCTCCTGCCAACTGGCCCGCAGAGGGATACAAGTTGATAGGCAGGAACGATCTCGCCGAAGGTACAAGCGCTCCGCCCGAACTCCTCTTTAACGATGGTTACCGTTCCATCAAGGACCATCTCGTGAGTGGCTTGTTTTGATGATCTTTGCCACTAGTTGATCTCTCTTGTTACAGAATTCTGCGAGTCGTAGACCGACTACTGAAGAAATAACCGCTAGGGCGAACGCCGCAGGGCCTTCTGAGAATTCTGGACCCACCGGCACCGAACTTGACCTTGAAGATTTCACTAAGATCAGGTTCGGGCAAGATCAGCGGATGGCAGAAGTAGCGCGAATGCTCTCTTCATCTCTCATTCCAGGGATCAAGCTAGTGGAACGACCGGATGCGAGGTTCGTGTCTCAGCAGGGTTCGGTTTTATACACGCTGAGTCTTTCTTAGCGAGCACGAGGTTGCGAAAGAACAACAACACCAAGTCTTACGAGTAGCAGAGAGGACTCTTGCCCTACCGTATGGAAGAGCGATGTTCACCTTCGGCTCGATGGGTGCTCTGCGCAGAGAGACTTACGCCATCCCGAAGATGGAGTTTGCTATTCGCTTGCTACCTCAGAACGTTGTCCTGCACCTCGATCAGACAACCAAGCTCCCAGCAGAATGCACGCAGTGGGGCGAGTTCCACAATGGGGTGGCTGCCGGACTACGCATCGCTCCATCTGCCACGGCCGTATCGAGCTCCTGGATCGCATTCAACAAACCCTCGGAATTAACACCTGAGCATGCAGGCTTCCTCTATGCCCTCGGTCTCAATGGCCATTTGCGAGATCTATTGACATGGCACACGTTTCACTACTTGACGCCCAAGCACGACCTAACATCTATCGCCATCTTGCTCGGGCTTTCAGCCGCTCATGTGGGCAGTGGCGACGAGCACGTCACGAAACTGCTGGCGATTCACACCCCTGCATTGCTTCCTACGCCAAATGTGGATCTTAACGTATCGTTAATGACCCAGACTGCCGGTTTGGCTGGCATCGGTCTGCTTTACATGGGCACAAAGAACCGTCGAATGGCGGAAGTGTGCCTCGCTCAGTTAACGCGACGGGACCTCATACAGCCAGACCTCACCAACGAGCACAGAGAAGCGTACACTCTTTCCGCCGCCCTGGCTTTCGGCATGATAATGCTAGGGAAGGGAGCCGCTATCCCTGCCGACACCCGACTATTGGAACGGCTACAAGTCCTCGTCCACGGCGAGAATCTGGTTACCAAGGACGGAACCCCGCGCAAGCCCACGTTTGATCTCAACCTCAGCTCACCAGCCGCGACAATCGCCGTGGGGCTGATGTTCCTGCGCACCGGTCGGAGAGACGTCGCCCACCTGCTCGCAATTCCGGATACCACAGTCGAGCTCAACGCGATCCAGCCGAGCTTCCTGATGGTCCGCGCGATTGCGCGGGCGTTAATCATGTGGGACGAGATTACGCCGAGTAAGGAATGGGTGAACGAGCAGATCCCGGTTAAGATTACCAATGCGCTGGACGTGAAGATGAAGGGGATTGCGGTAGACGACTCGTTGGAGCTGGCATACTATAACATTCTGGCGGGATGTGCTTTTGCAATCGGCCTCAAATATGCAGGCACTGCGAGAGAGGAAGCGTATCTTCTTGTCATAGGCTATTACGATCTGTACAGCCGTTTGGCATACACAACGGGTGAGTCGACCTGCCACGATACTACACGCGCCTGATTATTTTCTCCATACAGGCACCGCGTTCGACTCGCGCATTAAACGCGCGACGATCCGCGAGGGGCTAAATACCATCTCAATCGCACTCTGCATGATCATGGCCGGCACGGGCGAGATAAATTGCCTCCGCCGACTGCGGTACGCGTACGGGATGTACAACCAGCCGATCCGATATGGGACCTACCTTGCTACGCATCTCTCGCTCGGGCTGCTCTTTCTTGGCGGAGGGCGCTTCACGCTCGGCACGTCCGACGCGGCGGTGGCAGCGATGGTCACGGCGTTCTACCCGCGCTGGGCGCACAGCAGCTCGGATAACAAGAGCTACCTGCAGGCGCTGCGGCACCTATGGGTACTCGCTGTCGAACCCCGGTGCCTGATCGCGCGAGATGTGGATACCAAGGAGGTCGTTTACCTGCCAATAAAGATCAAGGTGAAGGACGATCCCAGCTCGCCAGGCGGGCCGACAGGCACAACACAACTGATCGCGCCGACGCTCATTCCGGACCTCGACCGACTGTTGTCCATCCGGGTCGACACACCGCGCTACTGGCCGTTCTACCTCGATCTCGCCCGCTACCCGCGCCACCGAGATGCGCTGCTGAGAGGCCAGACATTGCTCGTCAAGCGACGGACAGCATTCCTGAGTTACGTCGAGGACCCGAAGGGCGCGCGGAGTCTCTTCGTGCGCTCAGGAGCAGGCACTGGCGAAGCGGCGGTGCTCGACGTGCCCCAGGCGGGCGACGAGCGGCTGCACCCAGCTGGCGACATAGGACGGTTTATTGGCTCGTTCTCGAATGACGTCGTATTCCTCGCGTTCGCTGATCATCTATGTCGCGGGCCGAGCGGGGACGGAAAGGAGGAAACAGAGGCAGAGAAACTTTTCCGAACATACGCACACGCGAGCCTCGTCGACGCCGTTGTAGGCGACAAGCCGCAGGCGCTTCAGGCGCTCCTCACGCTTTATCAGCATCGAACTATGGATCCTGCCGAGCGTTTCTTCATGTTGCGCCTCCACGACCTTTGCTTCGCTCACGAGTTCTATCGTGGACAATACGAACGTCGTGCAGCTGCGGAGGGCGGCGCGGCGATGACAAGGCCTCCGCTGCTGCGTCCGTCAACCGTCGCGGGCGCCGTGCAGGCGCTCGACGCGCGGCTGGAACAGTCCACACGCGATGACGTGCGGTTTAAGAAAGCGCTCGCGTGTTACGCCCGTGGCGCACCGCCGCCCGAAGGTGGAGAGGATAGCGAAACGCAGCGCAAGTTAGCGTGGTACCTCGTCCGACGCGCGGTCCCGCCGGCACCAGTGCTCGCTCACTTGAAGTTGCTAGCAGCGCAGGCATACACGCAGTGCGCGGGGCGTCCACCGCCCGAGGGCACGGCGGACGCAAGTGCGCTTGAGGTAGGGATCAGGCAGGTAGCGCGGATGGCGGGCACCAGCGCTATGGGCAGCGGGAGTACGGCGGGACGAGGATGGACACCAGCGTCAGTGGACGAAATTTTTGACTTGTGGAAGGAGGGGGCTTGAGATGGTGGTAGAAGAACCGTAGATTCAACATGTTTCCTGTAGTGTATCCAGGGCAACCGGGTAGCTCGTTGTATTGGACATGGTCACGACTGTTTTCTAGTTCTAGGCATTGCAACGTACCTACCTGCTCGATACCACCATACCAAAAGGGTAATAGCAGCCAGTGTGCCTCCAACCGCAGTATGCATCACGACGGTTAAGCCCAACAAGCCTCGTCGCCCCTCCAGCACACGCTCTTGGACGTGGAAAATCCTTGCACTTCGTCGCACTGCAATGCTGGATAAACCCGACAATACTAGCACGGACCAGCCAGGGAATGTAGTTCTCCACCGCGGTCCTTGTCCTTGGTGTTGACGGAAGTAAGATGAGACAAAGCTAAGACAATAGACAATGCGAGCTGAAAGGTTGATGACGTTGGCGTACACAAGCGAAGCATCGCCGACGCCATATGAAAAAAGAGTGAGCGCGGCGGCTATGTAGACTCCCGAGAACACGGCCATCCATCTACGACCGATGAGTTCCTGCCCTAGAAAAGAGAGAGGTCTGAACCCACCGACTTTGCCTCTTGATGTCAGTCGGTGTAGCAACGCTTGAAAGGAATGCCTCGAGACCGCCGTTGATAGCTAGGACAGGGATATACCAGATCCATGCCTCGAGTACCTTCGGCGCACTGGTCGACAAATAACGCACAGGAAGTAGTATTCCCAGGGCAATCGGGAGGTAAAGAGGGCCAAAAGTCAGTATGATGATTGACAGCGCGAGTTGTGCGTTGAGGATGCCTGTGAGGACGCGAGATGCATCTTGAAGCGCGGCGCGATTTACGGAGCTCGTTGAGGATTCGGTTGCCAGCGTCTTCGAGAAGAATACTCTGAGCATTTCTTCGATTGGCTGGAATGCAATCCGCGCGATGAGAGACCCTGATGTTTGGGAGTTGAGTACCGCGAAGTACGAAGGTTCGAAGGTCGTTCACCATAATTCACAGCGACGGCATATCCTCCTTGGTCGGCTAACGGGCTTACTCTTGAAATGATGATCTTATCTCCCTCTGTCAGGAAGTGCTTGACGACCGACTGGTAGGTCATGTTGAGGGACACATGGAACATCGTGGAGTCAAAGAAGCCCATGACAAGGTGTGCTTGTCCCGTCGTTCTGTGCGGAAGTATAAGTCAGTGGTGATTGTATCAAGGGCGGTCACTCACGACTCATCCTGTGCCGCCTGTATGGGACGTCTTGGCACCAAGGCAACGGAGAAATTGTAGCTGAAGCCATATACTCCGAATATCGTCAAAGCATAGGCTAGCTGACCGCACGCGAAAGCGAGCAAAGCCCATCGAGCGTCCGTACTCGCCCCTTTCACCACTTTCACTTCCGCGACCAAGACGGTGAAAGTGGTCAAGGACTTCAATATCACGCCGAGACCCTCAGCTCGCACTCGGACCTGAGTGCGCAGTCCTCCCATTGTTCTGGAATAAAGCAACGTCGGTACGGTACATGAGTTTGTATCTCCATGGAATACACTGCTACCTGATGTGCATCGGCTCAGTCGCTAGTTCAATGACCGCAGCAAGGGCATAAAGAGCCACTGAAGCTTTGAAGAAAGGCTGACCTGACGTCGTAGACGACGAGGAACTGAGATAGAGCGATGAGAAGCCTATGGCCAAGGGAAGGCCCAGGAGAACGGGTAATGTGGAGACATTGGTGATAGCAAGCGGCACATTATTGACACTCTTCTCCTCGCTATTTGTGCGAGCCGGCCATGCACGAAGAAGACTGTTCCGGATACCCTCTCGACTGAGGAACAGGATAGTGCTCAAGAGGAGCTCGAATTGGATGGCGGCCGTGCCAAATGCTTGAGGCGAGACAAAGCGGAGCAGAGCTTGGTTGAGACCGAATGTGAGGAGTCTTGACAGTAATTGTAGACCGACAAGTAGAGATGCCGATGATAGAAACGTTGAGACCATGGCCAGCGCGTGTGCGCTGATGACGGTGGCACGAACGGAGATGCGCAAGCGCTGCGAGAATGCGTGATCGTGATCGTCTCTTCCAAGATCCCATACGCTGGCGTACCAGAGGATCTCTCGAGTCTTGCATATACCATGGCCTCCAAGAAGACCGATTTTGATGCCCTGGACGAGGTGCGTAACGGCGGTGACGTTCTGGCCGACACATGCTTCATGGTGGCCTGTTAGTCCCAACTTGCCGAGGATGGTGGTGAGAGGTATCTATTTCAGTGGCTCTCTGCGACGGAGAACGCTCTCAAAGACAAGTCCACGGTGCGCACATTACGACATATACGTTGTGGTACAACTCACAGGCTGGTAGGATGCACTCAAGTCCATTCAGAACGATGCGGAAGCAGCACTCGTCAAGGTTATAGCTGCACCGGCTCCCTTTCCATCCCCAGGACGCCCGTTTCGCAATGCGGTATCGAGATGTTTGCTTCATATCTACCGGACGGGAGAAACCAAGACGCTATATGATACGATTCAGACGTTCCTCAAGATAGCCGGGGACGTGAAGGCGTTCGATCGTGACACCCACAAGACGCAAGTCTGCAGAGCGTGCTTCATACTTCATTCATTAACAACTGCTCAGAGCTTCCCTGTATTGTGTCGGTGAACTAATGGCGGAATTCGGGACCCAAGTACGCTCGTATATGCATACGTAGCCCTTCTTCCTTCACTGACGTTCGACCTCGCAGGTCATGTCCCTCGTGTCCGAGGTAGTGAATATAACAATCAAGATATACAGATCGAACAGCGTACACATCCATCTCAACCCTCGTAGCCTATTTGCCTGATCTTTCCTTCTCCAGTCAACACTTCTACGATATCACGCTCTCATTGCGCTCGAGAAAACTATATCTTCGGCGAAGCGGGCAGTCACGGAGGCTACCTCTAGAGACATCGTGAAGTATATGAGGCAGGGACTAAATGATAAGGCATTGGCGGTCCAGAGAGCCGCTTCTGATGTGAGTCAATCGCCGCTTCATCCTTCTCCAGTAATTCATGCCTTCCCAGGTTCTCATTGTGATGCATCCCGAAGGCGAGACACAGATTACTCCAGCTGAAGTCGAGTCCTTGGTCACGCTATGCGTCAAGTCGCTCGACGGCGCCGATCAGCTTACAAGATGCTCCTTGTCTCGTCTTGTAGGACATTTCCTTGCGCTCACACAACAGCGGTTGGTTGTGGTCGTCCCGGAGCAGAAGAAGACCAAAAAGAAAGATCCGAAGGCCGGGGAGGAGGTCGAAGACGATGATCCTCCCCCTGTAGTCAAGATGGATCCTGAGGACGTGAAAACCATCCTGACACCTGTTGAAATGCTACATCAGCTCTCAACGCCTTACAATAAACTGAACACTACCCGGAAAGCTCGCATTGGCATTTTTGACTTCTACGCCGCGACGCTCACCAGACTTGGATCGCAATTCGTGGAGCGAAACTACACTACGATTGTCCAGCATTTCATGTCGGAGTTAGTCACGCATGCACGCAGCCTAAGCACCCGCTACGAAATCCTCCTGGCTCGCAGACTTATCGGACTGCTGCTGAGGGAGCTCATAGGAGATCGATTGCTGAGCGAACAGGCGCAAATCACTGCGATTCAAGAGCTGTCTAGCACTTATCTCCGGAAGTGGCCAGCCCTGATGCCTGGGCAGGTCGCCCCTCCATCGCAGGTCCTGACGATTGCGCTGAAGGAAGTTGGAGGGCTCCTAGAGCAACTGGGAAATGCACCTCCACCTGTTCAGGTGAGCCATTGCTTGCCGCATACTTACAGCGATCGCATTCTAACGAGTGCTGTAGGAAGCTTTGGCAGAACCCCTCGTCACTCTCCTGGGTCATCCAAGCCATACTACGCGGGTGCATGCTGCGTGGACGCTGAAGCGCCTCTGTCACGCCGCTCCGCTTCGGTTGCCCAAGGTCGTCTTCAGCGTTATGGAATTGTTGCAGCGCGATATCACCTCCATCACGTCCCCAGCTGCACCCTCCGATATCGACACCCGAACTCTGGGCCATGCCTACGGTCTGTCAGCGCTCATCGCAATCATCGCAGAACAACCGCTGTATGTCTCGTACGACATCAGCGTGAAGGCCCTGGATATGGCTACGCTGCTGTTGAAGCGCGCGGCCGAACATGACGTGAAGGTGGCTGGCGTCGAAGTCGAGGTTGCGTGGACGATGATAGCCTCCCTGATGGCTCTCGGGCCCAACTTCGTTCGTGCGCATCTCGCCCAGCTCCTGGTCCTCTGGCGAAATGCCCTACCAAAGCATACTAGCAAAGACGCCATGAGCCGAAGCGTCACTGAATGGATGTTTTTGCTCCACGTACGCGAAAGCGCGCTCGGCGCTGTCCTCAATTTCCTGAGGTACAATGCCAGCCTCGTTACCTTGGACGTCGCTCGCCGCATCTCGTCCTTATTGGCGAATGCTTTGTCCTTCGCCAACACATTCATATCGCAACCCATTGAAGAACCCCCCGAAATCGGTTCGTCCAAGGCCATGAACTTGAGGACTCGCGAGACGCTCCTGCGGCGCCGCATATATCAGTGCTTCACTGCGCTCGGCTTCTCTAGCATCGCCGAATCGACGCAAGCCAGCTTGATACAGTCGACAGTGTCCTTATTTGCCAGCCCGGAGGGATATGCTGGATCATCCGTACAGGCAGCCATTGCATCGTCTTCTGGCTCGTTCACGTCCATCTGGCAAAGTGTGGATGCGTATGCCTATGGCCTCACAGGCCTCGAGACCGAAGATCGAGCGACAGCATCTGCTCGTCTCAACCGCGATACAGTCGAGAATCACCTCGATGAAATGGTGCGTAAATATTATTATCATCATGTCCCTCGACAAACGATCCCCGTAGCTACGAAAGCCCATCTTGACATCAAATGAGCACGACACACTCGGCCTCTGTCAAACAAGAGATGGCTCCGCACACGGTATAGACACCCCACCGCCCGCTACTGGGGTAGTAGATGCAGCTATCGAACTTTTCGCGCAAATACTTCCTCTGCAGGATACTACAGCCTGTGTTCGTGCCGTTACTCAACTGCTTGACTCTGTCAAGTCCCCTAAACTAGAAAGAAACGCTGGGCGGAAAGCTGCAGTTTCAGTCAATGCCGCGATCGCGATACTGATGTCACTACGGGTTTCTGCCACCTTGCCCGCGAACCAAATACGAGACAACTTGTGCAGTGCTCAAGTAACCACGGCGCTGTCGCCTTTCCTGAAGGCATGTGCGATTCTTATGAGCGTTCGACTGGCCTAACACGCTCCATCAGGACTCGATAGTCGAGGGAGACGTCACGCTGCGTGCAGCTGGCAGTGAATCCATCGGCCGCCTGGCCAGCGTCGCTGGCACCAGCTTCCTGACTGCCCAGATCAAGACCTTGGTCGATCAGGTCGTGAGCAACCGCGATCCATATGCACGTGCTGGATGCGCGTTGGCCTTCGGGTCCATCTATGAACATGTTGGTGGACTAGCAGCAGGCCCGCTGCTCAAGACAACGGTCAATGTGCTTATTTCGCTGGGCAATGATCCACATCCTGTCGTCCATTTCTGGGCAGTGTACGCGCTCAGTCAGGTTATCAACGCGGCGAGTCTTGCCTATGCCCCCTTCGTGCATAGCACCTTAGGAATTCTCCTCAAGTTATACACCCTCGAAACCCACGAACCGGAAGGTGGAACGCTAAACGCCTCGAACTTGAGCGGGGACCTTCCTGTCTATCAACCTGCATGCCAAACCGTCGACGCGGTCATCAATGTCCTCGGACCAGACATTCAGGAATCTAGTAGAACTCGTGCGCTCATCCTTGGCCTGGTTCAAGAATTTTCGTTGGAAGAAGATGAAGGCATCCGAGTGGAGGCCATCAAGGGTATCCAGCACTTCTTGATGTTCGCTCCGGAGCATGTACGCATACAGGAGTTTGTGCTGCAGTTTAGAGCGCATCTCGGCTCGTCGCGTCGCCCTCTCAAGCTGGCGTCGATCAATGCACTTTATCAACTCGTACAGAAGGATGCCCTGGCTATGTCGAAGATCGGTGGCGATCGACTGGTCGAAGAGCTTTTCGCGATGTTGGATAGCGACCCATCCATCGACGGAGTGCGAAACGTCATCACGAGTTGGCTTCAACAGACGGTCGTTTATAACCCGTCGGCTTGGATTGACTTGTGCCAAAGGATCATGTCACGCACGACGGCGTCGCAGCGAGCTGCTGACGCTGCCTCAAAACCGGGTGCTCTCCAAGATGACGAAGGAGAGTCACTTAGTCTGGGTACGACGGAGTTGTCATCTGGTGGGCAAGTCACGTCGCGTTGGAGGACCCAACTCTTCGCGTTGCAATGCCTGCATGCAATTTGCTCCACAATAGCATCTTCAGGAAGGCGAGAACATATAGATATTCCATTCGCACTTCGCCAGGGACTCTCGCCCAAGGGTCTATTGGTTACCCGAGTGTCAGATCTCATCAAGATGGCATTCACGGCATCAGCAGCCTACGTTCCAGATGTTCGTCTGCAGGGTTTACAGCTGCTGCGAGATGTCCTCGAAGTACGGCCCAAATTCAAAACACAGTTCGCGTACTGATACTTATTCGCATAGGTGTTCTCGAGGTCCCCCGATCCCGATTATGAGGAATCGCTGCTACTTGAGCAACATCAAGCGCCGATCACGGCCGCGCTCACGCCAGCATTCTCAGCCGACTCTACCCCCGAAATCCTTGCATCCGCGGTGAAGGCATGCGCCGTATTCGTGGGCTCCGGGATAGTCAAAGATGTTACAAGAATGGGCAGAATCCTTAAGTTGCTAACATCTGCCCTAGAGCAGTCGAAAGGTAATGTGCCGGTTCTTTGGTATAGGAGATTTCTTAAACTTGTCCAGAGGATGGGACCATCTCGCTGGGGGATGCTCGTGACTTAAGCCCGAACGCGTCAGTTATGATTCGCATAGCGACCGTTTCAGCTTGGGCAGAGTTGGCAGTTGCTAGCATGCACCAACCGTATCTGCTGGATGTCTTGAAGCCTCACCGCGCGACCTTGGCGTCCTCCTGGATAGCCTGTTTGCGCGATTACGCAAGCATTCAAGCTGGATCAGATATGTCGCAGGACGCTAGCTCCGTCACCATCGATGCGACTAGCTTCAGCCTCGGCAAAGATGTCTTCCTTCCGGTATGAACCGTCTCCTGACTTACTCACGATGACTAAATTGTCCTCGTGCAGTATTATCGAGATACTTGGTCAGTCATTTTGCACGCCGTGAATATTGCGATGCAAACACAGGACCCCTTCGTTCTCGCCGCTATCGATGGTCGCGAACCATCGGACGGCGTGGCTGCCGATAATGCCAAGGCTCGCGAGGATCCTGCAACTTTCTTCTTTGTGCTTTTCGGTCTGGCGTATGAAGCTCTAGCAACTTCCTCAGTCGAGTCAGCTGCTGGTGGCGCGCAATCGACTCGACAAACGTCCATCATCGCGTTGCAGGCACTAAAGTACCTCGTGCGCCCAGAGTACTCTGGAACTAGCTTCCTCCAGACACCCGCATTCCAGGAGCTGATCAGCCTCTGCTACCGAATCGCGATGACGGAACCACCGTCCGTACAGGTCCGTCTGGTTGGAATGGTAGCTGAGCTTGCATCGAGTCATGCGCCTCAGGTACAGAGGTACGTAGGCATACAGCTCGGCCCATAGTACCTTTCTCATCCCTTCCGCCCCTCCTAGCGCTGATCTGAGAGAGGGTTTCCCGTCAGGTATTGCGCATACGCATTGTCTGCGTATATGCGGTCAGGTGCTTCGCAATGCCATCCCAGGGGCCAATACTAGCATCATCCGTGAGTGTAATCCTACTATGAAGACATGTTCGCTGAAGCATTCCCCAGATGCCGATGCAAGTGCCACCGACCGGATCCAGTTAGTCAACGTAGGCTTTGACGCCTTTGCCACGGTGGCGTTGACATTTGGTCCCGCCTGGACAGAGGAACTGCGCGCTGTAGCGGTCTCCCTTTACAACGGTGAGTACTTCATGAGTCCGCAATTACAGTCAGGTTGAAAAACATACCCGGTAAGAATTCCTGAAAGAGGAGAATTCGCCTATCGACATCACCAGCCCGACTTTGCAGTCGCTTAAGAGCTTATTGGAGGTGAAGAGTGAGGCACCGAGCGGCAAGTATGACCGCGTCGCACATGCGATACTATCGAGCTGCTTAAGCAACATCGACCAGATGAGGTTAGTACGGCTGCATTTATCTGCGTTTGCGTTTGTAGCGCTTAGCTGACTGTCCGCTACAACAGGGGACGGGCGGGACCCGTGGTGTCGCGGAAGATAAAGACCAACTTGCTCGCAGCCGTGCTGATCTTGACTGTCGTACCGCCCACCGTCAAGGTTGGCAGGCCCGCCATTGAGCACTGCTGCTTCATCATCAGCGAGAAATTACTAGATGAGGAAGAGGTGTGCAGCCTCTGCTTTGGTATGCCTGTCGCGTGGCTCACGCATCAACAGGTTTCCCTTACGGCCGTGCATTGCGCCAAGACGCTCATCGTAGCCGCCTCGAATGGGAACCTCATGCTCCGGCATTGCACGAAGATGCTCCTTCCCGGTCTGGTGGAGTACGTTGCCCGCATCGCAACTGTGCTCGCGGAAGGTGGGGCCACCGACAAACACAGTGCGGGCGCGAGCGAGGTGGTCAAGGCATTCGCTGCCTTCTTCGCCGTCGTTCCCCCCGACCAGCGTGAGTAATGACTTCCTGAATCGCGGTGATCGACGCCATTGACCAGTCACTGACCACAGGCGCGTTGGCGCTCGGCGTCCTGCTCCCAACTCTCGCGCTCCTGCTCGACTCTTCCGGCCAGGTTCCGCCGACGCCGATACATACGGAAGTTGTTGCGCAGATCCTGGCGTTCGCTACGACCGACGCGGCCGCGTTCAAGGACGTGACTGCGCGTCTCGATCAGGCGGCGCGCGACACGCTCGAGACCGCGGTGCGACAAGCAGTCGGTTCGCGGGCCGCAGGTTCCGCGCAGCAGGCCGCAAAACCGCAGATCTCACTGCGGTCGTTCTGATCCATGTTGCTCCTGAACGAGTCCTAACCCCAGATATCGGTTGCGGGCGTGTTTGTTTTAGCTACGAATGTGGATGAGGATCGAGCATGTATTGAGTGTGGAACGAACTATGGAACAAGATAAACACTGATACAGTGGTCAACATGTACTGCGTACAACTGAGCTTCGCAAAGTAAGGACGGAACGTAGTCAAGACGCCACGATGCGAACTATGTACAGGGCCCATCGGACGATCCAAGAGCTGTTGTGAGACGAAGAATATATCAGAGAAACAAGGGCCAAGAAACCGGTCAGATATATGACACAACATCGAGTAGCGAATAGATATAGGGATAGATATCATGATGATCATCGTCATAGGATCATAGCAATGAGGCTCTTGGTATCGCGGCAGGCTCGCTTTATGCTCGCCGTTTGGAGAGCGCCTCGGAGAAGGCGAGCGCAACGATGAGGCCAGCGGTGAGAACGCGAAGGCGAGGACCCAGGACGTCGATGCCAACAATCTTCATAAGAGAATCGAGAAGATGAAGTTCAGAGACGGACGGCGACAGAATACGGATGAATGGCGCACCTGTGATTCGAGCTTGGCATACGGGTACGCGATGTCCGCTACGAGGCGGACGATGGATGCTGTCAACGCGTCGAACGGGCGGACTACCACGGTTGTCTTCGGTACAGGCTCGGGAGACGCGAAAAAATTTTGGCGGCCGGCAAGGGGTGGTACCGTGCGATCGAGGCGCACGAGCGCGTCTTCGTGGTCTATTTCGCCGGCGGGGGTTATTGCGCGACGGTGTAGCCGAGGCGAGCCAGGGCGCGAGGCCGACGGCACGGTATTGTACGTGTCGTAGGCGTTCCCCATATCTGCTCAGAGGGTGGCATTCAGTAGGAGCTGGCACGCGAGTGGGGATTACTCACGTTGTTGAGTGGGTTGGGACGGAGGTACGAACGAGCAGAAGAAGCCGCAGATGGCCGGCAGGATGAGGGCGGGAAACGCGCGGTGCCAGAGGATAAGCCAGAGCGCGCGCGTTTGGAAAGCGGCAAGCGGGGCGTAGGGCAGGCGGAGGTAATGTTGCTGGAGGACTTTAGATTCAGGGAGTAGGTGAACCTTCAAAGGAAGGGTATCCTGAATTAGAGGGGTAAAACGATACATGGAGGACGCTAACCTCAACTGAGGTCCAAGGAACAACGGCCACGAGGATGCCGATCAGCTCCATGAACGCGCTGAAAAGCCATATTGTGCGCGCGGAGGAACATAACTGACAAATTCACGGAACAATCAGAACGCCGTGACGCGAGGCGTAGGGACGAGAGGAGCATACGTCTTGCAGGTCCGCAAAAATGAGGGTCCCCATCCGCTGGCCCCTGCGTGCACGCGCGAGGATCTCTTCTGCCTGAGGCTGAACAGCTTCGAGCATCTTCGTCGGGCTCGCCGCGCGGGGTATGAGCGCACTCAGCTGCCCAAGCGCGTCCGCGGCGCCATGGAATACGTTTGAGAGCGTGTCCCTTCTGTCGTGATAGCCAAGCTCCTCGAGCGTGAAGCCCTCGAATTCTTCCTCTTCGGGCTGTACGTGGCGAACGGGCGCCGGAGACGCAGCCTGAGAAGGAGGACCGGACGGGCGGCCATTGAAGGGCGACTTGAGGAGAGAGGAGACGTGCTGAAGGTCGGCGGCGGGCGTCGCTGGGGCTGGCTGCTCCTGAACAGCCTCAAGGGCTCTGTGTCTCGCGCGTGAAGGTTTAGATGGCTCAGCGTTGACGCTGAGATGACGAGTGTTTGATTAGACGCGAACGGGTACAGACGAAGGATAGGAGACGGACGCAGGAGGTGGCTTGCTGGAGCCGCGGCGACGGCGAGAGTAGAGGCCGGCGAAGACGGGGTCGTCTTCGAGTTTGTCCTGGTTTGCGTCGAGGTGACGTTTGATCCTCGCCTGGAGCTCCTCCTTCGTGCCCCCGCTCTCGATCTTCAGGCTGTCCGCAATCTGTTGTAGATCCGCCTGCATTGCCGGAATACGGACGCATACACGAACGTTATAGTTGTTATTGAGAACAGTATCGTACGAGAACATTGTTAGAACATTTGTTTTGTGATAACGAGGGAGAATAACGCGCTTTTTTCTTGGGCTGCAATGCACCGGCGTACGCGAGGGGCGCCATGTCCGGGTCGGTGTCGGTGGGTGTGATCAACGAGCGTGGCCGTCACGTGCGCCGGCCAGACCGGAGATCTCGTCGCGACCTCGGTGGCTGTAGCGGTGCAGCAGTGCTCCTTGTCCTTGTTCCTTCCTCCTCGTCCTCTCGCCTGCGCCGGTCGCATCCTCGCCTTCGTGCCCCCTATTTGCTTCAGCTCTCGTCTTTGCAGTCTCTTGTCAATCATGCGCTCCTTCGTTGCCGTCCTCGCTCTTTTCGCCGCGCTTGCCAGCCAAGGTGCACAATCTGGAACAGTCATTCCGGGCTTTGCGCTAAGCCCTACGATATATCACAGCTATCGCCTTTCAGGTTACGTTCAACAAGGCGAACATCTCGCTTCCTCAACTGGTTACCTTCCAGCAAGGCGATGTCCCGTCCACGGTATGTCGCTCATCCTCGCTGTTCTAGCCTGTGAACTCAAACGCCCATTTCTCCAGTGCACGAGCCAATGCACCAATGCTAGCAGCATTGCGACCGTACGTCTCCCTGTCTTTCCTCGGCCACCCCCCCCTCTGCCGCCTGCTCTGCCTTTCTCTGCATCACGTATCTGCCATCTCTCATCCAATCCCACGTCGGCGGCAACTCCGCCATCATCGCATCGCCACCCCGACCACACCTGCGTCCCGTCATCCGTCCCGTTTCTTCGGCACCCGTTCGCTCACGCTCCGCTCGATCTGTTCCCGCAGAACTGCAACGAAGACAACTCCTGCTTGTGCTCGAACGCGACCGTGATGGCGGTCACCATGTGCGAGCAATGTCTCTTCAACGACCTCATCAAGCGCAACGTGCCCCAGCCGCACCCCAACGTCGGCTCTACGCCCGCCCTCACCGCATACAGTACTGCCTGCAGCTCGGTCGGTATCAACGGCACCGCCGCCCTCGCCGCCCTCGTCCTCCCCTCCGACTGGTGCGTCGTTCTTTCCGCTCGCGACCGATGTGATCCCCCTGTGCTAAAAATAGCTGATGTGCGCCCGCTGCTCTGGTTTCGAATTCACTGCAGGAACGGCCCCGTCTCTCTTGGCCTCGGGCTCGTCGGCGGCATCTTCGCGGTCGGTTTCGGCGGCATCATCGGGATCGCGTCGCTCCTCATCTTGTGCAACCTCTGAGGGAGCAGCGATTGGCGAGATTGAGGTTTATGTAACGGAGACCGGTGCCGGGTCGAGGTGGTGGAAGGCGACAGGCGATAGTACCTGATGAGCTGCGAGTTTCGATGGCCGCATTGTTCCTTTCTATTTAGCGCTCGGAATGCAAAGACCTTTGCTCTAGATCTTGTATAACATGTCCTCGCGCGACGGAGCCGTGAGGAACCAAAGGCTATTTCTTCCGTCCACAAGGCACCTTTCTCCGGCCTGGACACAACACGCGTGGGGTACCCGTAAAGATACGACTCCAGAAGTCCGCGTGTTGTGGCAGTCGTGCGCCGCCAAGTACAAGCCGACTTTTAGCCAAGTGATATTGACGATACTTCCGTCCCATTCGGATCAGAGATTGGGCGAAGCGACCCTCGTGAGAAGCTTCAAGCGAAAATCCTGTACTGAACGATATGTTACTTGCGTTTGTTCTGGTGAACGAGGGCTTCGCGATAGCCCGTGCGAAGGCCGTACTCGAGTTTGCCTTGAATAGTTGAAAAAGCATTGGATATGTGCCTAAGACTCAGCGTTGTCACCTCCAATCCGCCTGTAACGGTAGTATAGTAGTACCGTATACGCTTTGTAAGCCGCCGCGAGGCGGCATGATGCAATAGACCAAATACCGCATCCCATTGGATGCGGTCACTTACAACGACAACGATGGCGCCTCAACACCATATGGCGCCCAAATCACATTACTACGAGGCGTAGGCATATAAACGCCCGCTACTCTACCATGTACCGTATCTCTTTTGCTCAATATCACTCGGTTCTGTTCTGTTTCGGCCAAGTCGCGTCGTAGCATAGCATTACATAAGCTAGCTACTTTACACTTTTTTGAACACGCCGTATATTATTGAAACAAATCAAACGGTACATGAGAATGTCCGGAACACGTACTTTGAGAAGCGCGGGAGTCGCCATTGACGCCCAGAGAGTAGTAACCGAAGGCTATGAAGCCACTAAGAATAAGAAAGGGAAACGCCCTGAGCATAATGAAAGCGTGGGAAACGATCAATCTGATGTGGGAAACCT